GAAGATGAGGAAGACGAAGAAGATGATGACAATGACGATGATGATGATAATGACGATGATGATGATGATGATGATGACAACGACAATGTCGAAGATGATGAAGACGATAAAGATAATGATGATATCGATGATAACAATAATGATAACGATAATGAGAATGACAAAGATAAAGACAACGACGATGAGAATGATGAAAAATATAAGAAAAAAAATGAAGCAATTTCGGAAAATATACGAATTTATAGCAATTCTATTCAACATTCGGAAAAAAATATTATTATGAATGAAAAAGATTACAGAACAAAGAAATCGAAAAAATATTATCGAGGACAACGATTGTCAGTGATTAGAGCTAATAGAGATCCAATAGTTGGACATCAATACGGAGAAAAGCCACTTTTATTGGACGATGAACTCGATTCAGAATCGAAATTAGAATATTTTCATGGTGATCCATTTATTATTGATGATCAATATCACTCAAACTGTCAATTGTTAAATAAAATAGATTCGTTAGAAAGGAATGAGAAAATGAAACATTTAAATAATTTATTAGAAAAATCTGAAAAAGATATTTTTGCTTTGGCTCCTTTTCCAAGATCATCAAGTTATTTAAAAAAAAGTAACGATTGTCAAGAGAAAAATGAATTTAAAACTGTAGTTCCCATTATTTTTAACTCAAGAGTTTCTCAGGAATCAACAGATTTGAAAAGCAAATCACTTTCAAAGTGTAATTCATATCAGAAATACACAAGTGTTACAGAAGAAAAGATAGATATTGATTTTTTGGAAAAAAATAATCAGCAATCATCAATTGAGATAACTTTAATTAAAACTCATCGAGACTTTGAAAAAGAAAAAAACATTCAAGATCAAAAGAAAATAGAAATGGAAGAATATATGAAAGACAATGGAAGAGTAGAAGAAGAAAGATTAGAGATAACTAGACAAGAAGATAAAAGCGAAGAAAAAAAAGAATATAGAATAGGAAAAAAAGAAGAAATAGAAGAAAATGAAAAAGAGAATGAAAAAAAAAAAGAAATGGAAGAAGAGGAAAATATAGAAAAAGATTTATTTGGTTCATCACCATTTAGTCCAAATAGTTTTGTAATAAACAATCAATTTCAACAATCGTCTCTTGCTTCCATTCGTACCCTACAATCTTCATCAAATATTCAGCAAACTAATGTTGTCTCCTCATCTACAAAAATAATACCAAATTCAAAATTTGATAATATTTCTGCGAGCGACAAATATTCGAATACATTTACGAATGTTTCAAAAGATCTTTTTGGTTCCGTTCCGTTTGATGAATTTACATATTTACAATTGAATGAGAAAGAGAAATGTGACTTGTTAAAAAAGAAAAATGAGATTCCATTTATTCAGCCATCATCATCACGATCAGTGGCGCAAGAGTCACAACTACAGTCACCGAGTTTTGGAGGATCAATTGGGGACAATACATTACTATTGAATAAAGTACTATCACCAGATGCTACCACTGCTATTAAATCTACATCTATTTTACAAGAGGTATATACTATTAAACCAGTTCAACATACCGCACGAATTACCGTTCAAACAGTGAATAGTGTATCGAAACCAGACGTTATACCAGATATTGTTTCGCCTATGTCACCTGAACCATTGGTAGCTACTGATGATCATGATATACCAAGACATAAAAGAGATAAATTTATCAAATCAGAGAAATCGAAATATCGTTTAATCAATGAAAATCACAATGATGTTAGTGATATTTTATCATCATCGAGATTGAGTCATAAAACTAAATCGATAGGTTATAGTAAAAAAACTTCAAGAATAAAAAAATATTCTGTAGTGAGCACAGCCGCTGGTTTTAGTAACATGAGTTTCGAAGATTTCCCAAGCGATGAGAATGAAGAAAAACAAATTAGGAATACAAAAATTGCGCCTTTTGAAGTAATCAGAGAACCTGAAAAACGGTTTGGATCGTTAAAGAGAAAAAGTAATCCATTTTCTTGAGAACTAAAAATAATGTAAAAGAAAATTAGCCTTGCTTTATCAACGATTCTTCAACATGGAATCACAGTTGGACAATGCGTTGTTATGTTACATTACATTAAATGCTGAAAACAGAAAAAGAGAAGAAAGAGAAGGCATTAATTCATCACTATTTGTAATCTCTATGGTAAATACAGGACAGCAGTGATCAAGTTATGGCTTGGATATTATGTCGAATAGAATAGAAATTATTAGATGTAATTAGTCTTATTAAATTAGTTTTTCACATTAAATCAAGATATTAAAATATTATAAAAAGATGTAATATAATGAAAATAGAAGCAAAACAAAAAGAGAGTGAAAATATGAAAGAAACAAAAAACAGATAGTAAATAGAAAAAGCGTGTATCTATTTTTGTAGTTAAAAGTTTATACTATGTTTGTACTTTGAAATTTGTAGGTTTCTACTATTATGATCTATAATTTGTTACAAATGATGCAATTTTTCTAAAATGAAAATCAAATGGCAAACATGATCAAATGAAACACATTCTCAATAAATATACCTTAGTGTTATGTATTTTGTAATTTATAAAACTTATTCAAAAAAATAACCTTAAGATTATACAAATAAATATATGTACTTGATACTGATCTAATTGCACTATATACTATGTATTACGGTTAATATTATTATATCGTATAAAAAATTAATTAAAATTAATTATTAAATATCTTTTTCCGTTATATGAATGAATTATAAGATATAACAAAATATTTTTTAATTTATCTATTTATTATATCAATGTATGTGTGTAACTTTCCATTCAATCGGCACATGCATGCATATGATTTATTAGAAATAAACTGAATTCGTGATGCAAATTAGTATACATATAAGAATCTAGCAATTATATATATATATATATTTTAAAACTTTATTTAAATGTTCATTATTATCCTTATTGTCACTTCTAATAAAACACTTTGTTAAAGTTGATAAGTACAAGTACAGCTTAAAAATTATTAAATTAAAATATTTATGATTTGATATAATTTTTCACTCAATTGTAAATATTTTATTCTTTGTATCAATGCTTTTCATGCATATGTACATATATAACCTATTATTAATAGAATCATAAGTGAATTATGCATATATTGCAAAATATGATTTTAAAAAATGATAAATGCTAAAATGAAAATTGTTAGGAAAAACTATTGTATAACTGTATCAAAGATTATCTATCGATAATAATACATGTCCTATATTAGTATTAATTTAGTATTGTTTTTTTTTTTTTGCTCTTTTTTTACTCTCTCTCTCTCTCTCTCTCTCTCTATATATATATATATATATATATATATATATATATATATCTGCATCTTAAGTAATGTAATAATCTACCACAATGCTTATTTATTTATTCATTTTGATGCGAATTTACATATACATACAATGTATATTGTGATATTTAATAATGATAAATGTACGATAATGAAAGTATATATAAAAATAAACATATGTTTATTTAAAAGTGATATCTGCAAAATATACTATTAACTTATTATAACAAAATGTATTTCGATAGATTTAAATGATTTAATATATTTAATATTATGATTTAATATTTTATTATTCTATGCGTAATATTTTATATTTTTATTAAACACATATTCTGTTTGATTTAAGCATCGAGATGAATATAAAAAGCTTAAACTTATTATTTATTACTATACAATATCAATTTGAATTTGATTCTAACAATATACATATATTTCTGATTTTTTTTGTTATAAAGTTCTTGATATAGTACAATTCAAATATTTCATATTATATTAAATCAGATTTAAAATTACTTTATTATATATATATATATATATATATATATATTAAAATCATTTGATATTTTTTTATTTTATCGTTTGCAACTAGAATTAATATATAATATATAAAAATATAATTCATTTTGATAACATTACAAAAAAATATAAAAAAGGAGAGAGTAAGAAAAGAATCAAGAAAAAAAAATATAAATTTTGAAGTAATGAATAATTTTTAACTGCAAAAATTAAGATTATAATTTTTTTCTATTATTAATAATATTTTATTAATAATAATAATGATGGGAAAAAATAATTTAATATTATTTTTATAGTATAGAATTTAAAAATAATTAAAACATTTTTCGATAATATATTTGTTATGTATAAAAATATTCTTAAAAGGAAAAAAATCAATAGAATTTATTCGTATATTAGAGAATATAAGTAATATTTCATCAACTAATTTATAATTTCAGACAATATACACATGCATATAATAATTATAGTAATAATGATAATATACAATGATACACTTTCTAGATTTATATATGTATATGTATACATATATTATTCGTATAAATATAATATAAATTATTTATGTAATATATATATGTATATATAATTATCAAATATACATATTAATATTAATTTACAAATTGTATAAAAGAAATTTTTGTTTAAAGTAAATATATATTTTTAAATTTTATTTAAATATCATTATTCTTTACATTAGATTTTATAATGCTATATGTCATTGTTATTTCAATAAATAATGTTCTCTTCTTTTTTCTTTTTTTCTTTAGTTTTTTCTTTTTTTTTGTACACACAAGTATTACTTACACATATAACTTTTATAATTGTAATCGTTAAAAAAATATATTATATATATTATATATTAAATATGAATGAAAAATATAAATGATATAAATAATAAACACACATATACATATCTGAACATTATATCTAACAAAAATTGAAAAATGTGATGTTTATAAAGATATAAAAATGCGTTTGGTATAATTATAATGTAGTATAATTAAATAATAAAATTGAAAAAAAATATAATCATTTGCTTTATAAACGTTATAAATTATATATAATTATATAAAATTGTATAAAATTATATATAAAATTATACAATTATATATAATTGTGTGAAGTAATAATGAAAAAGAAATAATGAATCGATGATTAGCATTAATAATTACATTTATAGATCAACTATTAAATGATATAATTATTAAATCAATTATAGGATTTAAATTTGATATTTGACAGTTTATTATGTTTAATAAGAAATATTTCTTAATCGATAACTTTTGATCGATAACTTAATATCAACGAAATCTTTTGCGCGCCATAATAATGTTCAGCAAGAATGCAAATGTCCAAGCAAAAAAATTGAACCATGTTGAAATAATAGCTAACCGGAAAGCAAAACCAGTATCAATCTCTTTATTCATTATCCATTTATCATTATTTGTCATATCTGCTTGTAAATAATCCATAAAATCAAAGATCGCTCCGCAAGAAAGTCTGTTACGAATAACCTGTAGAAAGAAAAGGGAAGAATGTAATCATTGTGCAAAAGAATGAGAAACGAAGATAAAGAAAAGAATTGTATTTTTCTGAATAATATATATCATTAAGTTCTACCTCGGCTTCACGTCCGGAATTTAAAAGATATATTAATCTTTTTCTACATTGCTCACAACTTTTGTAATAACCATCGGTTATCACTATTGCATGAGCCAATGATAAACAGCAAAGTAATACTGTAAGGAACACAGCAGGTATCCATTGTTTATATGGAGTTCGATTTTTAGATCTTATCACCACTGTTGTTGTTGCTTTGCTACTGTTTAAATTTCTACGAAGAATATATACAATGATCTAATTTCTAATAATTTAAGCTATATTCATATATGAATGAATTAATATTATTCGAATTTTATGCAAATGTAAAAGTATACATATATATATATATATATATATATGGTACATAGAATAAAAATTGATTTTTAAATGATATCAATTTCTGTACCTGTTAACATTGTTATAGATTTGTATAGGCATATCTAAATTTCTATTAATGCAACTTCTATATCCATGATATCCACCGAGACATAAACCGATTACAATTATAGGAATCAAACTGTATACGCTAAAATGGCAAAATTTTTCATCACCTCCCATAAAACTAGCGAAAGTATTGATACTATATAATATGCAGCCGCAGTTGATGCTATCGCAAACATCCAAGGTATATGTCCAATATTGCCAAATGGTGACCAAACAGGTCAAAGATGTCACCGATAAAATTGCACAGGAAATATATAACACGCTAAGTATTTGTTCCGCTTGTTCTTCTTTCATTTTATTTCTTTGATAAAAAAACAAATGAGAATTTATAAATCTAATCCAAATAATGTACTTAATAACTTGATATTCATTTCTTTGATTTCTAAATATCGATTATATCTTCCTAAAATATGCTATTTCATTTTTATCATCTTCTTCGTCTATTTAATCTTCTTATTATACTTATTTTTTCAAAAATCTTTCTTCACATATATTGATCATACATATTATATTCTCATTATATATGTGTTCATAATTTTAAATTGATTCGTTTAAATTTCAAGAAATGAAACACAATTGAATTACTATTAAAGATTTTTAGAATATTTTTTTTCTAAAGCACAATTTTGCTTTGAATGTTTTTAATTCTATCATATTAAAATGATTGAATAAAATACGTTTAAAAAGTGCTAGAATAAAATAGTGATCAAATAGAAGTGTAAAAAAAAGAAAGAAAATAGATATTAATATGATAACAAAGAATAGAAAATAACATGTAGAGAAAATGAAAACGAGTAGGAAAATTATTCACTTTGAAAAAAAATTCATTATAATATTAAAAATATTGAAAAATTGATAATTAATACACGCATATACATAAAAGCGAATTTACAATTTTATTTTAAATATTTTTTATTTTATATTTATTTTAAATATGCATCAATCAATGGATGATTCAATAAAAGATACTAAAAACTATAGTATTTATATCGATTTAATGGTTGAATTTATTTCATTAGTTTTTCAAAGGTTGAATTTAAAATATAAAATATTAGAAGAAAAAAAAAACATTAAACTCAGTAATAATTTAAAAAAATAGATTTATATATATATATATAATATATATATATATATATATATATATATATATAATTTCAATATATAGATATTACAAATTCTTCATAAGTAGTAGAATTTACTGTATCAGATTCTGATCTTATCACCACTATTTAATTAATTAATTAATTAATTAATTAAATTATTTAATAATTTCAATCATTAAATAAATTAAACTCAGTTTGATTTTTTTTTAGAAAATTAATTTCTTGATATAAAAAACAAATTATAATTTTGTACATATATATAATAAATTAAAAATTTAAAAATCGAAAGATTTATTAATTATGATATTACTTAAATGATTTTATTATATTTTAATTAAAATATTACTCTAAATGATTTTCAGTTCATTATTTTTTATTTTTATATCGGAATCGTATTAAAACTTATTACAATGATCATAATATGTGTTTCAATATAATATAAAATAAATAGTTATTAAAACTACTCATATCTATTTTTTCACAATGCGATATTTTTGTGGCATAATTGAAAAAAATGTTTAATATCTTACCTTAGTTTGATATATAAATTTATTTGATAAATCTTTAAACGTTGCGCTTTATGAAAAAAGTTTCTTTCTTTTTTTTTCTTCTCTTTATAAAATTGTAGTTCCAAAATATATTTTTCTGCTAAATATTTTCTTCTTGCCGACTGGTAGAACTTTAACACATTGAAATATTTGTGTATTTATGTATACCGCCTGTTTCTTGTTCAAATAAGCTGAGAATTTTTTACTAATATTTATCGATGCAATATTTCTATATGTAAACGTTAAGAATTGCATTAAGTAAAATGCTTAAATATTTATTTCTTATTATTACTTTTTATAATAAAAAAGTTTGTGTTTCATAAAATATTTTTAACTAGTATTAAATTGACGATTACAATATATGATAATATACGACAATATAATAATATCAATGAAAAATTATTACCTTTGTTTTACTCATTTCATATTTTTACCGATTTATATTATTACATATGTATATTATGTACATACTTTTAATAACATTAATTATAAGTAATAATATTCCTGTTCACATTTTCTCTTTCTTCTAATATAAATCAGGTTAAATTGTATGACTGATGAAACACGAGAATATTTGAGATAAACTTTGATAAGATTATCATGCCTTACTGACATTCGATAGTAATCCAGATATTACAAATTCTACATCTTGTTCATATTATTGGGGTGTGTGTGTGTGTGTGTGTGTGTGTGTGTGTGTGTGTGTACACATCATACATATATATACATATATATGTATGTATAATATAATATAATATAATAAATATATGTATTTAAAAGAGAAATTAAAATAGAAATTAAAATAAAATAATTACTATTATAATATATATAAAACACATGCACAAAATATGCGCATATATATAATAGTGCTACAGATTTTTCTTTATTTGTATTGTATATTGATTTCATTTATTTTTACTAAAACGTTTATATTCTATAAAATCTTCAAATATGATTTTCTATATACAAAACAATTTGCTTTCGTTGTGTGAATTTCTAGTAGCTTGAAATCTCGTTCCTCCTATATATTATTTAGATCTGTAAAAAAGAAGTAATATATCTGTGAGAATAACATCGTATTCGTAATTTATATCGTATTATGCATGCAATGCATGTAATCAGAATATTTATAATAAATTTTTATTTAATTTTTATATTATGGGAAAAACAATAGTAAAATTTGTTTTATTTAATCAGTTTATTTCGCTCTTTTTATTTTTTTCTCTGGATTTTCTTTTCCTCTTCTCTTTCAAATTTTCTTTTTTCTTTATTTTTAATAAGTTAATAAAAGTCATATAAGTTTCTGGAAAATAGAATATAGCTAAAATGTAGTACAAATTGTTACTACAAATGCAATTTTCTTAATCTAACAATAGAAATTATACAAATATCTATCAAGATTATAAATATATATCAAAACGTAATTTATTTTCGTTTTTATAGAATCAAATATCTATATATGCATATATTGAATATTAATTTCATCTAAGAATATAATACATATTTGAAGAATAATAAAAATCAATTTTATATATAACATTATGCTATATATTAATAATAATGATATATAAAGAATATATATTATAATAAGGAAAAAAAATAATTATTATAAACTCAACAAAACTATATAGTATTTTAACAATAAGAATGAAAAAATATAAGAATAGATAAATTTTTTGTAATAAACATGTTAAAATGATAAACAATTGACTTAAATATGTAGTTAAATACATTTACATGTTTGGAAACAGGAATGGTAAAATTAATCACCTTTGGTAACCTTTGTAAAAATAATCATTCATATATAATTTATATCAATTACAGAATGCAAACCCTTCTATCATTCCTTTGTTAGTACTACTAAGAAATTTAAATCACTATAAGAAAAATATTTAGGAATATTCAGAGTTTTTGCTGTTACACACAGTCTTACGCTGGATTTATATTGCGATGCCTCAATTCCAGTAAGGCTTCTCGATTAGTCCATAAGCAATATACAGATGCTATTCCTAGTCCTATACAACCACCCAATGCACACTTTTTTAAGCCAGCTAAAAACAATTAATCATTATTTACACAATAATAATTTTTAATTTAGACTATATATAATATATATAATATATATTATTTAAATGTAACATACTTGTAGATTTGAACAACATCCCTGTTCCAGTTGCTGCTACTAATGTATTCAAGGAATCATCTGTACCTCTGACCCAAGATAAAAGCACACCAAATCCACTATACATCACAGATACTATTCCAAATGTATTTGCTAACGAGGATCCACTTTTCATAACATGATTGATTAATCTATAAAAAAAAATTTATTTATAATTTAATAATATGTTATATAAGAATATAAAATTTTTCATTTTAACATAACTAAAAATTCTTGAATACATACTGTGTTCTTCTAAGTTTACCAGTTTGGTCAGCTAAAGATGTTGCTTTAATGCCTCTATACAAACCAGTAGCACCTCCAATACCAGCTCCTATAATACATGCTGCACCAATCTGACTAAAAGCCAATTCAAATCTTCCTCTTTGTTTTGCTGCTCCTTCCGGAAATATATATTCTGGTTGGCTTGGAGGAAGATATGCAGGATCAAAATTTAAATAGGGACTAAGTGGCGCTAATCCTTGTTGTGATGTTACTGGAAAACAATATAAAATGTAAAAAAAAAATGTTTAATTTTGATATTAATTATTAAATGTTTATTGATATATATGAATTATATACATATATGTACAATACATACAAAACATTTATAAATCGATTTTGCAATTTTATATAATTTTTTCAAAATGATAAATAAATAAATTATAATATATTTTAAAATTCTAATATTATAAAAATTTTATTACATATATTATATATTTTGTTATATATGTTATATATTAATTCAATATATACATATATATATATATATATATATCATTGAAATTGAATTCTTTAAACAATACAAATAACAATATAAATATTATATATATATAAAAATATATAATAATATATAATATATATATAATATATATAAATAATATTCTTTATATAAAAATCATTATGAATAAAAATTATATTATTAATCATTAAATAAATATTAGTTCTAATTACTATACTTCTATACTTATTTTTTAAAATAAAATTTCGATATATTGAAATTATCATATTTTCTTTTTTTACTTAATTGTTTATCTATTAACATAAAAAGTTTAATTTATCACAATGTTTTCATTTATGAGATACATTACACAATTATATAAATTACACAAGAATTTTTTTTATATTAAAAATATAATAACGAAGTATTATTTCATATTATAAATGTATTGAGGTTATATATAATCATATTTAATAAATTATATATATTTAGTTCGTATATTATATCAATCAATATAAATAAATTACAAATCTCAATTTTTTCTACTGTAAAGTAATATTATATATGATAAATAAATTATATCATACATAATATAATTATATTACTCCCTTCTAAATTCATGCAAATTATGCATACTATTATTTTAATCATTAATTTTTTTAATTTACCTGGTATATTTAAATTGCTATATTTTCCACCATTTATTGTATTTTTAGCATTCTCATCACGTAAATCTATCATTTTCGATGTTAGACTGGATAAAATTTTGATTTACACTATTATCACGTTACACTCGTGAACAGAGATCGCGTTCACACGTTTTCTAAAATTAGTTTAAATCATTTACTCTGAATATGTCGAGAATCATATTCTCTAACTCAAATGTTCACCGCGTTAATATATGTAAATAATTATAATAAAAAACTAAAACATATCTCTATAAAGATTAAAGATTTTATAAAATATGTTAAATTGATTTTGAATGTAATTATATAATTTTTGTATATATATTATTTAAAATTGTATATATAAATCTAAATTATATATAAATCTAATCAATCTATATAAAATTATTAATGCAATGTAAAAAAATATTAAATTATTAAATGCAATGTAAAAAAATATAAATACAATAAAAATAATGATGATAAAAATTCTCTTCTTCTTAATGAATTAAAAAATATAAATAATAAATGTATTATATATATAATAAAATAAATTTTTTAAATTTATTATTTATTATTTAATTATTATTTAATTATTGTTATAAAAAAAATTTTTTAAATTTTCATATATAAATAGTATGTAAATTTATATAATAAATAATTTTAACTGTATATTAAAATTTTAACATCATCATAAATTAGTTTATATATATAATATACAGTAATTTTATTGTATTCTATCATACATATTATATTATAAAAAGTATTCTCTAATTTAAGCGTAGTTAAGCATAGTTAAAATAAATTAGTATTAAAATATATAAATATAAAAATTGTGTTCAAAGTATATAATATATAATTATATGATTTTGTGAAAATAAAAAATATTTAAATTACGCTGAGCTAAAATATCAATGTTCCAATAATAATTTAAAAATTGATTGAAAATCTATAAAATATTAAAATATAATATGTAATAAGAAATATTAATAATATTAAAATAAATGCGTATTTAGATATAAAAATGTACTCTAATAATAAATAAATCAAGATACGATATCGTATAAAATTTTTCTATTGTGATGTATATTTTTCCAATATGATATAAAAACAAATAAATTTTCGAATGATAATTCGAAATTTATTTAATAAAATATTCAAGCAACTAAGTTTAATCAAAATTACGTGAAATGTATATCGATCTCTTTTTCTTCTTTCTGATACTTTTATAATGCCAGCATAAACCTAAAAAGTGGAGGGGAAAGATATTAAGAACACAGGCGACCTCTGTTGTGGCAACGGTCATGCATCTAACTATGCATTGCATTGCTGTTGAAAATGGCGTCAGGCTCGGAGCTGCCAGAATATTCATCCCCAGCAAAACGACGAAAAGTTGACGGCATCGGTTATAGTGGTACCAGTAGCCAGAAACCTGATTTCCAAGATTGTGAGACATCGCATGATATCCCCAATGAAGATCCCGAAGGTATTTTGACAAAAATATGGTCAATTCATTAATGAAATTTACAAGATTGCAAGATGGCGGTTAAGAAGGCGTCCGCTTTCCTTGCGTTGGTTATCGTTCGTTCGTAGTTGATTGAAGACAAGAGCCGCCATGACAGTTTCTGTGTATGTCGCATATCTAAGTAGCTTCGTAGTTCATTTTTAATTTTATCGAGTATGTAATTGCGATGTTACCAAATTTTTATTTTGCTCCAATAAAATTACTTGTTAATTAACTGTAATTTTTGAACTGCTTCCTAAAACACATTCTTTATAGAAGTGACCATTTGTGCGAAAATTCACAGTGAAAATAGAAAAACTAATCTCAGTGCAAAGGTGTACAGTATATTCGATGGACGTTCACAGATGGCATGATTTTCATTATACACGAACGATACGTGCTGTTGTATCTGATTTAATGGCACCCCGCCAATTTTGAACATTTTCAAAATGATTTATTGTGATGAAATTTATCTTAAATGTGTTTTTATTCATATGAATATTACTTTCTATATTATAATATCTGGTAAACCTAAAAGATATCTAAAAGATTGCTTTTACATGGTAAAATTAATACAGAAAAAAGAAAAATCAATGGAAATAGGAAAAAAAGAAAAAAGTACGAGTTTTTATCTTAAATAGTTCTTTAGTCTTCAATTATTTTTATAATAAAGAAGTATATAGTTAATATTATTATAGAGACATATGGTGGAGATAGTGGATTCAATGAATTAAGTGATGAATCCAAATCAACTTCTATTTCACCGGATGCTACAAACTTAATGACAACCCCATCACGAATTGATTCAACTAGTGATGACACTGGTTGCCTGTAAGTTTTATTTATTATTTATAATATAATATCCATAATTTATATATTTTATATTTTGTTATTAATAATCGCCAATCATTATATTTATATAAATTATTGCAATATGAGAAAATTGGTTTATTTCTTATACATTTCAGAATTGATACTGCAGATGAGAAGGATGAAGTATCATCAACAGTTTCAAATTTATCTGATTTATCAGGACTTTCTGATTTTTCTGGTGAAGGAGATATCAATCATCAATGGAGAAATGCATCTTCATGGGTTCAGAAGCAAATGTTGATAGGTGCTGATCCTCGAAATCTTTTACATCATCTTCTCATGGATTCTACTCAGATTCCAGAACAGGTTGATGATTTGACTCTTTGGAAGGTATACAAGAGGAAATTTTCATTTCAATTTAATAATCAAAATATTGCAAAAATTTAAGTTTTAATTTTTGAATGTTTGTTATCAAATATTTTGTTTAATTATATTTCAGATTATAATAAATATGATGTCAGAACCACCACGCCGACAAAAATTAAGACATATAAATACTTTGACAGATGTTGTCAGATTGATACGTAATAGTAACAGAATAATAGTTTTAACTGGGGCAGGTGTAAGTGTTAGTTGTGGAATTCCTGACTTCAGAAGTAGGGATGGTATTTATTCTAGATTAGCACAAGATTTTCCAGATTTGCCAGATCCACAGGTGATGCAGCTTTAAATATTTCTTTTGATTTAATTTATTTATCAGTTTATCAGAGATAGAATATTTGAAATCATTTAATCCTTTGCACTCGAGAAGTGACTTTCAAGAATTATTTGATTTAATGCAATAATTCGAAAAGTGATTTCAGACATCACTTGAATTAATGCGGTAACTCGAACAGAGACAATATTTATTTGTTTGATTTTTTTAGAATATTGCTTCATGAATAATTTCCTAAGTTCTTTATATATAATTTTATTAAGTATAAAATAATACACTTTCAAATAGCTAGATTTTCTTATTTCAAATTAAATTGTGATCGCGAATCAGATTGAGTTTTCGGTATTAGTTCGAGCTTGACAATAATATAGAAATATTATTTTCAAAGTTTTTGAGTTTTGTAAGCATGGAATATGATAATGAAATCAGTTCAAATGAAAATAAATTTGATTTTTCGTTGAACAACAAAATTATTTCTATACATAAAGTAATTGACGATAGAGAGAAGAAAAATAATAGAAGAAGATAGAGATGAAGTAAGAAATATAAGAAAGCGAAAAATAAGAATAATAGACAGTGAATATGAAAGCGATAATGATATCGCAAAAGATACAGAAAGTTCAGAATGGATAACGTGAACAGAATCGGAAGATATATCACGAAGAATATAGTTTGTATCTAATAAAAAATCTGTAGAACTGCAAATATCATAAAAGAATTGAATTTTTTTAAGTTGTTTACTGATGAATTCATTAATGAAATAGTGCGCGAAATATATATAAATTATGCTACAAAAAATTAGAAGGAAAGTATTACTACATGTGTGTATATATATTTTCAATATGACGAACTTAGCATGATGTGATCATTGAAGAATTCTGGGGATTTATTGGATAATAAATATAAATATATATGGATATATGGATATAAATAATAAATATGGGAACTATGGCATTGGGAAATTTAATAAAATATTGATCAAGGAATAATGTTACATTCCTTTTTATTCAAATATATCACATTCAGAAATAGATTCAGTCAGATTTTTTGAATATTTTATTTGAAAACAATTTCGATACAATATATAAATCTAAGAACATAGTTGTAATTAGTTCCTCAACATTAATTTCATAAATTTAAAATTCTTAAATTATTTTATATCGAGAGAACAGAATTTATTATCAAATTCGAATATCATTTGTTATCTATAATCCAAAAAAATCAATCATAGAATATTAGAATTTACATGATAACAGGTAGAAACAGTGACTATGTTTGTGATATTTTACTCTATTATGGAGCTTTCATAAGAAAGAAATTCATAAGATTTGATCTTCCAGTATTAATCAAAATTCTATTACATAGAATTTTTTATAGAATATTGTTAGATAAAATTCCTGATGTTTAAGGACACCATATGTTCACAGATCGATATTATATAAGTAATACCTTGGTTCAAGAATTATGCAAACTGAAATGCCATTTAACAATTCTAATAAATAATTTGCCAAATAATAAAAAATAAATTTATAAAAAAATATATAAATAATAAAAAATGCATGGTAGCATATTGTAAAGATTATATTTTAATTCTGGCATTATTGAAAGATAAAATTATTGAAAAAGATTGTCACTTCATCACTTGGGATAATGGAATAACTCTCATAAAAAAGATTTTACGAGATAGTATTGAAGTTACTATAAAAAAAACCTAATATTATTATAAACTACATAAAATATGGGAGGCATTGATCAAGCAGATCAGTATGCTTTGATATATTATTTTCTAAGAAATGATAGCATAAACTATTTTTTTCGGATTTAAAGTTATATTTAATCAATTCATATATTTTATATAAATCAATAAAAAAACAGAGAAACAAAATAAATGACTTAATCATTTGCAATATATAAAAACTTTAGTTGATCAATTGAGAAATTTTCGCCAGATTCGTGATCGAGCTTCTATTTCTTCTTCCAATTTCTGTTGATGAAATCCGTTTGAATGGAAAGTTGAACGGTATTCTAACAGGAGTTAAGAAGGATTGCAAACTTTGTTCTCAACGAAAAACACCAAACAATATTTTACTGCGATACTTATCTTGACAAATTGAAAATGTATCTTGGTCATTGTTTTATAAAATATCATAAAACAATAATATAGAATTTAATATTTAATAAATTTTCTTCTTTGATATGTAAAAATATTAAAATATAAAAATTATATATTAATTTGTATGCGAAATCATTTTAAGTTAACTCATTTTAAGAAATTCACTGAAAATTATCTCGAGTTGTTGATTCTGCCGAGCAAAAAAAGACCTCGAGCGCAAAAGGTTAAAATTTAAAAAATTTCAAATTTTCGTTTACAACTTCTAAAATTTAAATAAAAAATAATTTGTATAAATTTATTTTTATTTCATCAATAAAATTTTGCTTTACTAATAATTGAATTTATGTTCAGATTTTAAATTTATTTTAATGAAATTATAATTTCACCAATTGTTAATAGATTATATAAAGAAAAAATAAAAATTAAATGTTTTGCAAGCGAAAAAAATGACTATTATTATTATTATTATTGGCCAATTATTTATGAAACTAAATTTGAAGAATCCTAGAAAGAAAATTTTAGATAATTTTACATAAAAATCTTCAAAATAATAATAAAAGAAATTTCGGTTTTAAAAGTTTTTAAATATTACGAAATTTCAAATTCGAATCTTACGAATCCAAAAATCAAATTTCGATCCATCTCTTAAATTTCGTTTTTTGTATATTAATTTTAATTTCTTTTTTTCATACATTTCAGGCTATGTTTGACATTAATTATTTTAGTCAAGATCCAAGACCATTTTACAAGTTTGCACGAGAAATTTATCCTGGACAATTTAAACCAAGTCCTTGTCATAGGTTTATAAAAATGCTTGATAAACAAAAAAAACTTTTAAGAAATTACTCACAAAATATTGATACATTAGAACAAGTCGCAGGCATTGAAAATGTGATTGAATGTCATGGTGAGTGATATGTATGATGAATGAATATATGAATGAATAGAAAAATTAAATTTTTCGTTTTAAAATTAAAGTAAATCTTTATATATACTATATTTAAGGCTCCTTTGCTACTGCATCGTGTACAAGATGTAAATATCAAGTGAAAGCTGATGACATTAGAGAGGATATATTTTCCCAGAGAATACCATTGTGTCCAAAATGTCGAATTAACACTTTGCCTCCCATTTTGGAGATTAATCTTAACGAAAGTTATAAAGGTAATTATATAAACATAGATACTTTTTTAGCGTTCATTGATGTTGTATGGTCATTTTGTATTGATTGCCAATTTCTCTATGGTGTGGAAAATTAGCTACCTAGTGATAGTTTTTGCTATTAGTCTTTCCTATAGCGCGTCGCGAGTCAGTGGCCATGAGAGAACATTATCTACTCTTTACGGAATACATCTTCGCTAAATGATGTTGCCATTTACTCTGATCTACGCATAAGTTGATACATCAATTGTAACTACGAGTAAAACCTTGGCTTGTTTATAAGCATATAAGGTAAAATTTTAAAAGTTGCATCAAGTTACCCGTGCGTGCTGTTTAGCCAGATTTGCGGGGTACAATTTGTGATACGCCGTTCAAAAATTTTTGAAACTAAACAAATACGATGTGTTTACAATTGAGTAAAACAGACAGCGCAATCTGCTACGGCTAACGGAAAATATGCTTAATAGAACAATTTTCATTAGAAATTTTCATCATTTACAGATTTAGTGACACAAGGTATAATGAAACCAGATATTGTTTTCTTTGGCGAAGGACTTCCGGATGCTTTTCATGATGCTATGGCTAAAGATAAAGATGAATGTGATCTTTTAATTGTAATTGGATCGTCATTGAAGGTCCGACCAGTAGCATTAATACCTTCTTCTATTCCATCTCATGTTCCACAAATCCTTATTAATCGAGAATCATTGCCACATTTAAAATTTGATGTTGAACTCTTGGGAGATGGTGACATTATTATAAATCAATTATGTCATTTGTAAGTATCATTTATGATTATATCATTTATGATATAATATAATATATCATATACTTATATATATATGTTTATGTTCTTAAAGAATGGAGAACAGTTACAAAGAAGTATGTTGGAATGATACAATACTTAAGGAAACAACACAATTATTAGCATTGCGTTATGTAACAGATGATACTTGGGAACAAAGTCAAGATACATCATCAAATACCATATTATCACGAGACAGTGTGGAAATTAATTTTAAAGCACATGATCCTCAATCTATTGAAAGTCAAGATAATCTTATGATTCACAATAATATTGTAGAACATTATGAAGAGAATATGAATGTGCGTATTTCACCTTTCTGCAATGATCATACCAATAGCATAGAAGAAAAATTCAATCTTTTAGGAGAGAGTCCTAAAAGAAGATTAGGAGAATCAAGCGTAGAAAGTAGCCCAAAAAGAATGAATTTTGGTAGCAATTGTGTATTACATTTTAATACATGTCCTTCAAAGACAGAGACTATTTCAGAGAGTTCGATCGATTATAAATTTCATACAGTTTCTGTAGAATCTACATCGAAAGATATTGGGAAAATTTATAGTTTAGAAGAATGTCAAGTATTTCCAAGAATAATAGAAATCTCTTCGGAAAATGCATTATTAGATTCTACTTTAAAGCCACATCATTGTGTAGAAAATAGAACATCTTTAAAAATGAATAATGATTATTCAACAATGAATTCTACTGAAATTGAAAAAACGAATTTTAAACCGAGACAAGCTTCTATCGATTCTGCACTAGACTCCGGTGTAGGTGACAGTTGTAATAGTGTCGACAGTCACGAAGACAAAAATAGCAAAGAAGAATTAAAAAATGGAACATTAAATCAGCATTGTTGGCATTCTAAAATACGAAAAAGTCTTGCTGAAAGATTACCAGGTATATAAAAATTATTAATTTGTTCTCTTTTAGTTTTCTTTTTTTTTTTTTTATTATTTCTTTTACGTTTAAATAAAGAATAATGATAAATGTAAAAATAAGATATTATTTTTTTGCAGAAAATTCTTATTATCAGTTGGCACCAGGAAAATACATATTTCCTGGAGCAGAAATATATTCAGATCCTGAAGAATACGATCATTGTTCGCTTTCTATAAATTCTGAAAGTTCGGATAGCGACAGTGATTCTTCATCCATAGATGAAGAAGAAGATGATGAAGTTGAAGAGGAAGAGGAGGAGGAGGAAGAAGAGGAACAAGAGGAGGAAAATGAGAGGAACGAAAATCAAATTGAGAATAATGATGATAAGCTGAAAGAAAAACTAGGTATGAAAAAAGAAGGCCATGAAGAGGAGAATAATGAGAAAAATATTAAAGAAGATATAAAAGGACATAGAAAAATAGAAACAAAGAATGATAAAATAGAGAAAGAAAATAATCAACGAAAAATAATGGAAAGAGAAGATGAAAGAAGAAACATAAGTAAGTTTCATAATGAGAATATTTTAGAAAATTAAAAAAAAATGTAAGTTTGTTATTAAATGAAAAATAATTACTATAAATTAAAGTGATTGGTGTTAGAAAAAAAAGAAAATTAATACAGATTCTAATACGTAACGTGACTGAAAATATAAAATGGACAACAGCAAATTATTCATGCAATGATATACATGACTTAGGGTAAATTGCATCTGAAAAGTAACGATTTTAATTCTTACTACTTTTATCAAACTTGCTTATTTGATGAAGCAAATGATAAATAGTTGAAGGAAAGTGCAATTTTTACCATGTTTCACGTATACATACAATCTTTACATGCGTAAAGAGATGAAAAAAGAGACTCCTAATATAAGTAGGATTCATGTTTATCTTTTACCAAGATTTATTAAAGATTTTTTAAATAAGCTACATTTTACAGTGAACTAGTCACAGAACATTAGAAGTTACTGTGAATCATAATTTTGTAGTTATGATAGAAATATAGCAATGGTAAAATTTTTGTTATTAAATGGAAAACTTCTTTACAAAAGATGTTTTCAATAAGCTTGTTTGCAAAAAGTTCTCCAAAAATACCTTATAATTTTTATTTTTAAAAAGTACAAACTGAATAATATTTTCAGTGAATTTAATAATTTGCATAATTAAAAATAAGCATGTTCATATATAAATGATTCAGAGAGATAAAACATAATTAAAAAATTTGTATCGTTCGATGATCACAGATACAAATACTGACGAATATATTTGCGATAATTTTCTAATAAGCAATTAAAGATTTGTAAAAAAAAATTTTTTTAGAAAATTCTAAAAAAAAAGTTGAAAGTAAATCTTTAAAAAAAAAAGATGTAAAATTGCAATTTTACAAGTCCAAGCAAAAAAAGTAAGATTATCCATGACTTACTTATGATAGATGCTATAATTTTTTCTCTTTTTTTTTCTTTCTTTTCTTAATTTTGTATATAATGTTTGATATTATTTTTTTGATTTTTTCTTTTTTTCTTTTTTTTCATTTTGTCATTTATTAGTGTTAAGAGTCTGGGAACCAATGTTCGAAATGGATTTGATTCGAGAATATAATTCGTAAATATTTCACATAAAAAAAAAAATAGATTATAGTCATTTAGAATATTGTGCAATTATAGAAAGATAAAAATAATATAGTATATTACGCGATATATTCTCGAGAAAAAAAATAATATATACAATGAATAATAAATATATGAGATAAAACAATACACGTCAGTGTTTGTTCCATTGAAATAAAAATTTAGATCGGTATAACTGAAAAGAATAAATTCTTTTCAATTTAAAATATTTTACAATATGTATCCAAATTAAAATATGCAAAATTAATTTTTATAAAGAATATTTAATGAAAAATGACAGTGAATCTTTTTTTTAATAAGAAAGAAAATTCCAAGATAATTAGTATTTGTTTTAATATTGTAACTACTTTTACTTATTATTATTTCATTCTTACAATTTATATTATTATAACATGCTATTATTAATTCTTTTGCTATTATATTTTACTCATGCAGAATTATTATTAGTAATTATTTATGTTTTGTAAATTATTGTATAAGTTAGAGAAATCGAAAGAATGTCGAGTGTTGATGATCGCGAATTATGTATTTTTGATGCTTCATTTGATAGTGTATATGAAAATATGAACAAAAGTATTAATTATGTCACAAGACTTGTAGAAAGAAGTACATTAATGTGTTTGAAGTAACGCATTAAATGAATAGAGAATGGTGTTATGTGTATGTGTATGTGTATGTATGATATTATGTTGTGCGTGTTATATATATAATTATAAAACATTTTCAAAAACTATAAAAAAGGTGCTCTGTATAATATAAAATTTTAGCATTGGAAAATGAGAGGAAGAAAAAGAAAGGAAATTTGAAAATGGCAAAGACAAATACACTCTATAGATTTAAGTTTTAGCAATAAGTATCAATTATCAATTATCAGTTTCAAATACAAAATTAATCGCGATCATATTGTAGCAAAGATGTTTAGATTCGTTAGATTTGATTCTTTTTCTCTCTCTCTCTTTTTTTTTTTTTTTTTTTTTTTTTTTTTTTTTTTTTTTTTTTTCTCTCCATTAGAGCACGGGTGAATGTACAAAGCAATGTTGGATAATTTTGGCATTGCATATTATTTTTATATGGATGAGAATGTGAGTAAAATGAAATAGAAAGAAAAAAAATATAAACATGCAGAATTAACTCATTAAGAACTAACATTGCGTTAATGCAACATTTACAGTTTTTTTGTTTTTTAGTTAATATTACATACATAATTAAATTTTGTTTTTTAATATTATAGTTATAAAAGAAAATTTTAAGAATTTGCTTTATAATACTAATAATTTTTTTCAATATTATTTTTGCTTTCTTAAAAATTCTAAAATTTTATAAGTTTGGATAAATGTAATATTTATAAGTATTATGATGATATATATTCTTTTTTAAATCATGAAAATTTCATTTGTATTTTTATTTTTTGTAATAATTTTCTATAAATTATCTGTTGTTTTAATATATATTTTGTACTTTGACAAAATATATTATATTTTATATATAAAAATATATTTTATTTTCTTTTTTTATTAATGTTGTGTTTGTGCAACTTTTATGTAATATTTCACTGCATAGTCCTTAATAAGTTAAACAAAAAAAAAAAAAAAAAAAAAAAAAAAAAAATAACGTATGATAATCTTCGAGAAATTGTACGTAATGAATTTAAATCAAATGTGTGTATGCATCACGTGAATATGTGTAAGCATGCGTATATGTGTATATAAGATCGATGTCCTTTTGAAATGTATTGTCACCATTTTCACTAGGAAGAAATAAGTAAAATTTATTATTATTACTCTAGAACAAAATATTTCCAAAAGTCGTAATGCATAAAATCTAAAATGAGTATCCATATATGTATATTGATTATAGATAGTAAACAAATGAGATTAGTAGATTATCAAAAATAACTCAAGATTTATTAAATACGTTTTCAACGCGTGACGTAAAGTTTTATTTTTTATTAGCAAAACATATAAAAATATAATAAGAAAACTATGAACATTGAAAATTTTTAGAATGATTGAAATAAAACAATGAAAGAAGGAGAGAAGGAGCGAGTGAGCGAGCAAGAGAGAGAGAGAGAGAGAGAGAAAGATTCATTTGAGAATTTAAAACAAAAATTTAATTTCTTACGAATGTAGTTAGCTTATAAAATATACAAGATATATCTTCTGCGCTATGTACAAATAGCTTTATTTATCATTATTTTGCAAATCGATATGCAAAAAGTATAAATTAGAAATTATTTTTTAAAAAGCTATACTTTATTTTTATTTATTTAAAATTCATATAAGTAGATAAATATATAGATAGATAAGTTGATAAAAAATAAATAAATACATAAATAGATAAGATAGATAACAGGTACGCATATAGACAAATAGACAAATATACAAAGTGGACACCAGGCAAAAGGAGATAGGATAGATAAAGAGCAGACAAATAGGCACACAGAAACAAAAAAATATAAAAGAAAAATTAAGATACATATAGGTATTACGTATGCTGCACGCAATATACATACATTTTGTGTGTATGCAAAAATATATTGAATGCACAAACTGTGTATATATAAATATACATATACACTTTAAATGTGTATAAAAAATTAATTTTAATCGATACTAAACATTTTTCATAACTTTTGAAACTTAATTCCTTTCTCTCTGTTAATCGACTAGCATAATTGCATTGTATCTTTTTTTAATATAATTTTCATGTATATGATCTGTTTTTAATGGATCGTTCATTTTATTCTTGTATTTTATTCTTAAATTTTTTTTTAGTTTTCAGTTATTTAAAGAAAAAAAAAGAGAAAAAATAACGAATGATAAAATATGTTTTATGCATTTACATTATAATTTAAATATATTACATACTGTCGATTCAGAGAGAAGCATTGCAAGAATTCGACAATCATGCCAACTTCTTTTTTTCATGTACTAACTTTTTGTATAAATGTGTCACATGTAAATATTTATTATTTCTACTGTATGATGAGAATATTAAATCGTAATCGCTTCGGCTGACTAGTGAATTATTATGCAATATTTGTTTTTTTTCCAAGTTGGAGTATAAAATCAAAACATTTACATAATAATACTATATTATTGCTTATATCTATTTTGCTTATATATTAACAAAATAATGCTAAATAGTTTTTTTTTAAATATTATTCATTGTTCAGCCGATCCGAAAGAATGCGAGATGCAAATTTTTGGATTTTTTATAATTTGTTATTTAATATAATGGATGTTATAGAAATGTTTTCTATATTTAAAGTTATAAGTTTTCTGTTTTTTTTTGGTATTATTAACGTGTAAGCTTATATCTTAAATTAAATACTTTTTTATGATAATAAAATGACTTGTTACTTTGTTTTATATAACACTTACACTCTCTGTAATCCATTTTGAGTTAAAAATTTAATTCCTATTATTCTTGTTATTATTAAAAGTAATAGTTGTTAATATATATTGAATAATAATAGTTGTTAATATTATATTGAATAATGAAAAAAAACATATAGATTTTAAGTAAGAAATTGAAAAAAATATTTAAATGATATAAAATGTATGAAATAAATTCAATTATAATGCAAAATTTTTTGAAAATCAAATAATTTTCAAATTTTTAGCAATAACAATAAGAATTGTTATTATAATATATCTAATCTTAAAACTTGACCTTTTCTACTTTAAAATGTTGAACAAGCGATAAAAATATTGAAGAATACATTTAAAAAAATGAAACATAAAAATGAAAGAGTTAATTCTTTAAATAATTCTTATGAAAGTAAATGGTTGTTAATAAATTAGAGAATAATGAATATATACAGCAGGCAAGATTGATTCTATTTGTTTGCTTGCTTATATGTTTGTTTATTTATTGTGTGCATATGTATGCGTGTGCGTGTATATATATATGTATATATATATATATATATATACTTATTTATTTATTTACTTATTTTATTTATTTATTTACTTCATTGTTGTATGTCATATAATATTTTTGTGTCGTATATTGCAATTATCATAAATCAAATTTGAAAATAGGCTTTAAATTATTATAACAATATATCTTAGATAATAATTGAAGCGCTCCCTGGAATCAATAGAGCTGAAAACTCTCGCAACAATTTTCACGAACTTTTATCGAAATTTATGCCTGTATATGTAGGGGACCGTTTCAATTACGATATCATCGCTATATATATATATATTGAACACTTGTTGAAATCCCCCCGTTAAGAAAGATTTTCAAATGTTCAATTAAAATGAACATTTCTTATATATATTATCGAGTGTTCATCTAGAATAGAATACTTAATACATCATACTAGTTTCAGCCGAAACAGCAGATGACGTTTACTATTTACCTTCCATTTCCTATAGTTACGTTATGCGTAATAATAACCATAATATAATGATAAACATTATTACCACCACAGAGCATTAATAGTGTTATAATAGCACTGTTGCTAGGGACGCATGAAGATATATTTATGTGACGGCGGCCCCACTACCTGTTTAATGCAATGAACGATACTCATTCATCCGAGTAAGATTCATTATACACATACATAATATTCAGTGTAGTATCATTACATTATATATTAACTCGTATCAGCATATTTTTCTTCATATTGTTTTTTTTTTTATTCTTCTCCTATGTTCTTCTTTTGCATTTAAAGAAGACCCTAATTGAACGATTTCGAGACATCCGTTGATTTTGTTTTGGCCAAGTATGTTGTATTTGTTTATAAAGTTAATTATGACTTTTTTTTTATTCATCGCACTTTCTTTTCTTTCACTCTTTTTCTCAATTGTTTCTCTTTATTATACTTTAACATAAACATTCTTGTATAATTTTCATAATTAGCGATCGCTTGTGATTGTTTTTCGCTATGATTTTTACTTCAATAAAAAATTAAAATGAAGAGAAATTAAAAAAATTAAACGCGAAATATAGCTATCATATATATTCGACATAAAATAGCAGAATTTCTGATATGAGATCATTATCAATTGTATCTGTTGTGACATATCGTAATATTTCTGTCGTTTTTTTTTTTTTAATAATACAAACCATATATATATAAAATAAAAATTATCATTCTTTTCCTTTCTTTTTCTTCTTTTTTCTCTTGTTTTAGATTTGATAGTATATGTGAACAGGAATATTCAAGGAAATGGCAATGAGAAGATACAATTGGATAAACGAGAAGCACACCTAAAAGGAAATGATATAGTATAGTAATAAAGAAATGTAATGATATAGTGGGAATTAGTGATAAGATGGTGATAGTAAGAAAGGGAAAGAAAAGGAAAATTATGTTCATGATATTCTGAAATTGGAAACAATTTTCCAAGTCTTTCGTTTCTTCTTCATTTTTTTTTCTTTTGAGATCAAAGTATATATTATCCAATCAAAAACAAAAATAACTCTTTTTGATACGACAATAATAATATTATTATTGTTATTATTATGTATTATTTAATCAATATAACATTATTTAGCTATTCCTGTGGTAAATCGAAGCTTTTATTTTCGCACGCAGGACAATTGAAACAAAGCTTTTTAATTTGATACACGAAATTCAAGGAACAGAAAAAAGGACAGGTTTTAATTCGAGATGTACTGCTACAGATGAAGCGAAAGCTGATGTAATTATCATATGCGCATCTGAATTTATTATGATGAATGTCTATCAAATATTGTAAAGTTTGAATCTTATAACTTGGATAAATCGATTCACCGAACGATCACCATAGGAAAAAGTTTTGTAAATTGTTCTCGACATTTCATAATATGTCAAAAAGTTGGTTAGACAATGATCCTGGAGTACAGAAGTAGTGTGATCGAAATATGATCGAAAACGAATTGAAAACTACTATTTTGTTTTGTTTCAATCTCACCTGACTATCTCTTTTTTTTTTTTTTTTTTTTTTTGCTTCACATTTTTCCACATCGTATTCAATATTTGCTTGTATTGCATAATTATATTAGACAATAGTAATAAGTTGTAAGGATTTACCATCTTAGCACCTAATGTGACAAATAATATGGAATCTGTTTTGTAATGGATATAATTAGGATAATAATATAATTTAAGTATCTAAAAACAATGCTTCGTATTCCAGTTACATCTATTTACTACTTCGAATTCCAGGTTTTATTTCATATCATCCAGGTAAGAAAGCGAAGTCGCCTTCACAAAAATTTCTCCCTGTTTTTTCTTTTTCTTTTTAATGAGTCCATTTATTCCATGCCTGCAATCAAATTATTACATAAATGAAATAGTAAAATAGATTAAAATATATTTGCTTATTTATAAATTTATAAATAAAAATGGAATAGTGTACAATACAAATTATATTATTATATTATATTCCATAATATATTATATTAACATAATTTTATAAAATATTCATAATATAAATATAAATAATCGATAAAAGATTTTATTCAATTCCTTTTTTTAATTTCAATTTTAATAATAACTATTCTAATTTTATGTATAATAATTTATATAACATACCGGATGTTGTTTATCTTGCACAGCATCTGGTATTCCCCATGCTGGTGGATCCATTTTATTTGTTTCATTCGGAGGAATTTCTGTCAATGTAGGCGTTCCAAATTGTCCTGGCAATAACGTTAATCCTGGCATTAGCGACAAAGTAGTTGCGCTTCCATTAGGAAAAGGTTGTTGTTGAGTATCAACGTGACCCTGCATATAAATTAAAATAAAATTATTAGATCTAAAATTAAATTTAAAAAACATGCAATATAAATTTAAAAGAAAATTTTTAAAAAATGAAAAAAATAGAAAAAAAATAAGGAGAAGTATGAAAAAAAAACATGAAAAGAGAAATGAATAAAAAATGAGTGTCAAAAAAAGTTTACCTGAAAAGAAGATTCCATCATTTGATGTAATTCAGCATCAACATTGGATATACGATTATAAGTAGCATTAGATCGAAACATTTGATGCCTATCTATTCCTGGCGCTAAACTTGCCCAAGATCCAACAAGTTTTTCATTGTTTAACATCCAATTGATGGAATCGGCATCACCACCAGGTCCCATCCCTGCTGTTGCATAATTTTTCCATGCTCTTTCTGTACCGATCGGTCGTGGTACCTTACGGTCCTCTATTTTAAGCTGATTCATTTCCTGAGCTACTTGTGCTGGCGAAGAAGGTGATATAGCTGGTGACCCACCATTTTCTAAGCTCGTAATTAAATCGATGCTTCCAGGTTGTGCGGTTATGTTTGCCAAATGATTGGAGAAACTAATTTGGCTTATCATTGGATCTTGATGGGGCGGGTAATTATTGTGCGGCGGAGCAAATGGCCAACGAGTTTGTCCATTGGTTGAGATTCCGGTATTTCCGGGAGTGGCTCGAGATGGTGCTTGATATTTTCCCAAAGGAAAATTTCCAAGCATTGCTAGATTATTAGATTGGATCGCGGACGGAGGGGGTGGTGGTACAGTAGCAAACATATTTGGATGCATTCCCGCCGCCGGCGAACCCGCATTAAACATTGTCACTTGAGGTTTGCTATTTAAATGTAGCGAACTAGAAAAATCAGGCGCTCTAGGATTTAATCTGGACATACTGACAGTAGTGTTCACCGAAGCAGATGGTGAAATTGTTTGTGTGAAATTTTGCATATGTGGATGAAAAGGTAAAAGTGGATGACCTTGCCCTTCATTCGGTACCATCTTTAGTAAACTTGAATTTACATTTGGATGTTCATAACCAATATTGTTTCCTTTAAATAAACCTACGTCCAACGTTGGTTGTGACGTAGAGGCTATCACATGCGGCTGATGAGTTGTTGTATTACGAGTTCCCGTCAATTCTCCTTGAAATACTGGCCTACTAAATTGTGCTCCCATAGCTGCTCCCATTTCTATATTTTGTTGAGGAATCACCGGTCGTGCTACTGCCAAACTACCAGGTGGTTTATTTGAAAGAGGATGTTCGCTGTAATTTCCGGATGACTGAAATTGCGGTGGTTGAATAGGATTATGGCCTGTATTTGATGATACGCCACCACTTCCTATACTAGTCACATTCGTGTTAGTTGTATTGTTTGATTTACTTGAAACGGGAGAACACATTGTTGTTCCTCGATATCCAGGAGCTTTTGAAGCATCTACCTATATGAACAATGAAAAAAAAAATTATTAAAATATCTATTAAAAATTATAAAATGTTTATTTTACAATTGTGATTATTAAATGAACAAGAGAAAAAAATAAAAAATGAAAGTATAATTAATAGCTAACCTGAGGAGGTACGTTGTCAATAAATTTAGATGAAGATGAACCCGAGATATTTACGGACACTCCACCACCTCCAGCTACAGTTGCAAAATTCATACCCTTTTGAGATTCATTTTCTCGGCCGCCCCACATTGACTGTTGCGTAACTTTAGTAAAAGTATCATTAAACAATGAATATTCAAGAGGTGTATTATTCGTCTGTTGTTGTTGTTGTTGTTGCTGCTGTTGCTGTTGCTCTTGAATTGTCGATGCAATTGGTGGCGAACTACGTGCTTGTTGTTGTTGCTGTTGCTGTTGCTGCTGTTGCTGCTGCTGTTGTTGTTGTTGCTGCTGTAATTGCTGTTGACACTGTGATGATATCGGGGGCGATGGACTAACTCGTATTGACGAGTTTGAACAAGTTGAAGTGACAGTACTTTCCGAACAGTATGCAACCACAGTGCTTGTTGCTGGCGAAACCGCCGCATTTGAGCCGGGAGAATAAGTAGATTTTCCAGAGTAATGAGAAACCATAGTTGGTGGAGCAGACAAAGTAGGCAGTGGTCGGCAGTGTTTTGGCGATGTATTGACTGCAGACTGTTGAGATGAAGTCTGAGCCATTGCCGCGGCTGTAGCTGATACAACAGTCACTGTATTTGCTTGCAACGATTTTTGTTTGTTTACCGTAGTATGAGTGGATTGCATGACGGTAGTAGATGTATGTGTTGAGGCAGTGATTTCAGATAATTTCGCTGCAAATGTTTGCGTAGTACTTGTCGTTACAATTTTAGTTGCTCGCCCAGCAGTCATAATTGCACTCGTATATGACATTGTCGTCTTTGTATTTGATGACGAAGCCATTTGAGCTGCTACAGCTTGGGCTCGTTTTTCAGCTACAACAAATATATATAAAACAATATATTAATCAAATATCTATTAATTAATTAATTATAATTAATTAATATATTTATTAATTAATTGAATATTTTTTTGCTGCGATTATCTGCAATTTCTTTATGTATATTAAGTTGATTAATATTATTAATAAAAAAAATTATAAAAAAAAAATAATTTGTTATTACCTGCAGCTACGAGTCTAGGTGCCGTTGCACGTGGTAAAGGTGTTGGAAATGCTCCAGCAAGTTTAATAGTAGATGATGATCGAAGTGGAATTAACTGATTAACGGTAGACACTCCAGATGTATAATTAGATTTATTAATTTGCGTGCTACTGGAACTAGACGTTAGACTTAGAGGTTTATTTATAGGACCCAACTTTGCTTTACTCGACTAAAATTAAAATATATTTAACAAATTAGGATATGAATCGACTATCTTTTAATCTTTCAAATTTTGCTATAATATATAAATTTTTCAAATATTTATATAATAATTTGATATAATAATTTGGTTGATCTTACAGCTACAGTAGATATTGTTTTATCCCAAGAAGAAGTTGTAACAACTGCCAATTTCGATTTTGGAAGCATTTGCAGTATGTCAACATCTGGATCCTTAATGAGAGCAGCTATTAATGTATGAGCTTGTTTTGTTGCATCAGATGATCCTCTAAAAGTAATAAAAACAAAAATTAAATAAACCATATATTATTCTAGATATAATATATCTAATAAAAATTAATAATAAAATATGCATACTTAATGGTAATAATTCGTTCACCCTGACATTTGCTTTGTTTTTCAACTTCAATATGTGCTCCTGTTGCACCTCTAATAGCATTTATATTACTTCCGCCTCTTCCAATAACTCGACTAATAGCATTTGGTGGAACAGATACTTTTTTTGAACGGAATGGTGAATTCATAAATCTTCCAGAATCATCAGATTGTCCCCTATTTCAGAAATTATTTTAAATTTTTATTTAATAATTATATTATTAATAATTATATCTCTATATATGATAATATAAGTTATAAGAATAATACCATTGATAATTTAAATAATATTTCTTACTTTCGTACAACTTCTTTCCAGCCTTCTTCGCGTTTACCACCCTGCTTAGGACTGGTTGTATTATTTGTCTTTGCAGAAGTATTTAATGCATCGCCATCATATTGATTATTATAAGATTTCTTGCCTTTACCAGGCACATACGTTTCATTACCAGTTGCTTCGAAGTCTTCTCTATCGGCAGGATGTCTCGACGATTCAAACACTAGTTGACTTTTCAATTTTCGTTCATTACAGTTTACAGTCGAAGACCTAGAACTCATTGTAATAGAAGTCGCAGATACAGATACTGTATTAGATGCATTATTTATAATTCTCCTGAAAAAATAAAAACATACAACAAATTAAAAAGTATTAAAAAAATTTATATATGTATTCAATTTGCAATAAATATTGTTTTTCATATCATCATTTTTCCAACTTACTTTTCGGACGCATTATTTTGAGATTTAGTAGGAGTAATAGAATTTTGTGATAAAGTAGTACTTTGCGTAACAACAGACTTTGGAGATCTTTGAGGAGACGTGTCTTTTTCATTATTAGTAGAATTATTAGTTTTCTTTTTCTTCTTTTCTTTCTTTTTCTCTCTAGCTTTGACATCATTACTACTGCAACTGCCTTGACTATTTGCATCAATTCCACTATCGCCCTCTTCTCTGTAAGGATCCTCTGGACTTCTATTAACCGGTGATGGCATACTATCCATTCTTTCACAACTATCTCCAGTTTCATGTTCACTATCATCCGCTCTATCGCATTCTTCATCTCCAGATTTCTTTCCATTTTCTTCCTTATCTTCATAATTTGTTTCATTTTTTTTGTATTCTTCATGTAATTTTCGTTTTTCTTCTTTTTTTTCAAGTTTCTTTTTTTTCTTTCGCTCTCGTCTACGAGCAGCCGCTGCTTTTTTCGATTCTTCTCTCGTTTTCTCCATATCAAGTTCTTCCAATAAAATCGTTGCATTTTTATTTGCTTTTGCTGCTTGAGTTTCTTTTGCTGCTCGAATAACTTTCACACATTCTTGACATTTTTCTAGGAGCTCCTTGTCACTGACAGTAGCTATATACCTTGTCATTTCTTGATCACTTGGAAATTGAGTAACATGATTTACCATCCATTTAACAACTTTAATGTGTCCTTTACGAAAAGCGGCCATCAAACAAGAAACCTACAAATTAATAAGATAAAATATATATATATAAGATATATATTAATAAAACTGATCAATCATAGAGTGCATAACATAGTTGAACCATAACAATAGCGTTGGCTAAATGTCGTCAAATAAAAACGAACAAATCCAAACAATATAGAAAGTTTGTTAAATAATATAGTTTATTATTCATGATATAATGCAATATAATTTTTTATCGATAAAAAAATATTTGTAATATTCAACTGATTTTTTTCGACATATTATTTGAATTTTCGTGTTTGATCGGTGACATATATGGCTTAAGTTACATGTTCCGTGATTGGTGTTTTTTTATTAATCATTCGTTAACAAAGATGTTAACAAAGAAAGTTTTTGCAAAAAAATGTTGTTTGAAATTACTTCAGCAATCTCTAGTTAATGTTTCCATATTTTTGGCACATCCTATATATATATATATATATATATATATGGTATATGTATCCAATCATTATGTTATAGATATATATACTCAAATTTTTATATACCTTTCGATTGTCTTGTGAATCGATATCTGCTCCAGCATGGTACAATAAATCAACAACATTTAAATGCCCACCATTTGCCGCTAACCATAATGGACTATTTCCCTTCTTGTTTTTTACTTCAACTTGCGTACCTCTATGAGATTCAAAAAGATGAGTTAAAATTACAAATATAGAAACAATATCAAAAAATAAAATAAACAAATATTACCTTGACAATAATAATTCTACAAAACGGCAGTGTCCTTTATCAGCAGCAATGGTGAGAGCAGTATCGCGAGATGATGGAACAGGAGTAGCATTAACGTCAGCTCCTTTAGTTAATAAAACTCGCCCAACTTCTACATATCCTCCACTAGCTGCTTCCATCAATGGTGTTAAGCCGGTCTAAAATTTTAATAAAATTTATATGAACACTGTATAAAATATATATATATATATATAAATGCTCTATATGTGTATATATTTTAGATTATGTAAATATATTTCAATATTATATATTTATGATTTAAAATTATATTAAATTTTTTTCATAATAACAAAATATCATTAATTTTCATAAATCAAAACACTTTGAAGAAAATGAAAAATAAAATAATATAGTTTTTTATATTTCATACTACATTTTAAAATTTTTATATTTCAAAATTTTTATATTTTTAAAATTTTTATATTTTATATATAACATATATTATAGAAACCCATCTATGTGTTTATTTTTACATATTTTATACAAAGAAAAGATTTAATATACATATTTAAATATATTTATAAACAAATATATATGTGTGTACGTGTACTGTTTTATCTCTTTTCTTATTTTTTTTTTCATCTTTTTTTCTTTCTTTATATATATATATATATATATATATATATATAAAAATAAGAAGAGATAAAACAGTACATGCATACACATACATATTTGTTTATACCTTAGCTCGATGTTCTACGTTAGCTTTTCGATCGAGGAGAAGACTAACAACTTCATGTCTTCCTTGGAAACATGCCAATGTTAGCGCCGTATTACGATTAGTTTCAATTTGAGCATTTATATCACTGCCCATATCTAATAATAATTTCACTGCCGCTGCAATAAATATTATAAATATATTTAATTCTAGACTTAACACAATAATGTTTACATTTGTAAACATAATAATATTTTATTTTATAATATGTGTTATTTTATAATTTATTATTTTATAATGAACATACCAACATGACCATTCATAGCAGCAAGCATGAGTGGAGAAATACCTAATTTCGAACCAGTTCGGGAATTAATTTCAGCACCATGACTAAGGAGAAGCTTTATTATATTAACATAACCACCGGATGCTGCAAGACTCAAGGGTGTGTAATCAGAAACATTACGATGCTCCTTATTAGCACCCCGATTAAGTAGAAGCTCTACCACTTCGTATCTACCACCACTACAGGCAAGAGACAGAGGTGTATCCTTAGTACGTTCAGATTGAGCTTCTATATCAGCTCCATGATTCAAAAGAATTTCTACCACTTTTTGATGTCCTGCTGTTGCTGCCAAAATAAGTGGAGTAAATCCCTTTTTATCTCTGTGTTCTGTAAAATATGAGATACAAATTTATAAAAATTTATGAAAAAAATTTATATTCTTAAAATTTATTTTATACTTTATTTACAACATATATATTATGATGTTATTCTTATACCTATATCTGCACCACGGCTTAACAAAAGTTCAACAAGTTCTTCATGACCACCAGCACATGCTAAAGTCAAAGCTGTATCATGATTACTGTCTGTTTCAGAATCCACATCCATACAAGAAAATGGTGCAGGTGGTACTTGACTAGTAGCATAACTACCAACTGTAGGAACACCTGTTGTGTACTGACCAGCGACTAAATAATAAAATTTTATTAAAAACTCGATAATTTTCAAATATTAAAATATTTATATTATTAAAAAATGATATATTTTTCTTTCTTTTTGTTCGTATTTATAAATTCATATAATTGAATGTAATAAGAAAAATCTTATACCTGTTGTTGGATCCAATTGATAATTTTGGCTGGGGAAATTAGGGGTCTGCTGTTGGGTATTGGCAGTTTGTTGTTGTTGACAAGATGGTTGTTGAGATAAAAGTGGATATTTTCCTTTCTTTCCTTTACCGGTTGTAGGTGCTGTATAAACTTGCTTCTTATCTGAAGAAACAATAGTAGCAGCTGTTGTAGTTGCTGGTGCTTGAGTTTGAGTAGCCACTTGAACTTGATTAGTACTGCAAGCTGTTGATTGAGTATAACCATTTGTTTGATAGGATATACTATCTATTATTCCTCTTGCTTCACTTACAGCCGGTAAAGCTTGTGTGGGAAATGCTAACCACAAATAAATATTAAGATTTCATATTTTTACATATTTTTGAAATTATATATGCGTATATATATATATATATACATATGTGTGTGTCTTACTTATCTGAGATGCTAATAACTGCGATTGAAAATGGCATCGAAGACCAGCAAGATATCCATCTTGATAATCTTTTAATGCATCTTTATAAGGTTGGTTCTGTAGAGGTTGCGTACCAGTTAACTGTAAATCTGCTGATATATCAGCTTGTATCTGAACACCAGCACTAGTTACTTGAAGTGAAGGCAAAGTTGGTAGCACAGGATTGGTAAAATATTCTTGAGAAGTATAAGGACTGGTTGTTTGTTGAACTATTTGCGTGGTTTGCAAATGTTGTTGTTGCTGTTGTTGTTGCTGTTGCTGCTGTTGTTGTTGCGGCTGCTGAGAATCCTTACCATTTGTCACTTCTAATCTTTTCAGTTCGAGTTTTTCTTGATCTTCTGTCGCTACTTAATAAAAATAACATATACAATTTGATATGTGAAGAATTGAGAAAAGAAATAAAATAAAATCTTTTTTAAATATTTACCATCAACAGTATCGTCAAAGCTAATAGATCGAAAAATTTCAAAAGCATCATCTAGAGGAATATGCGTGCCATCTTCTAATTTTATAACACTTTCACTTGTACAGAGAGCCTTTGCCTTTTGAGCAGCAGCAACAAAGGGACAAGCTCCATCTCGATGTAATCTTGCTAATTCAGGATCAGCCTGCTCCGTTAGATTTTGTTGAGTTGTTTGCTGCGCGTAATTTTTATATACATATGCATACATATTTATAAGTGTGTATATGCGTATACACACATTATCAGATAAGAAATAATTAGTGATTACCTGATCATGAAGATGATGAGTATGTGTAGGATGAAGATGTGACATTAACTGAGTGGGCATAAGTATATTATTCCCATTAGCAGTTACTATTCCAGTTTGTTGCTGTGATTGCGATTGCTGTTGTTGAGATTGCTGCTGTTGTGGTTGACCTTGTTGTTGTTGCGGTTGCGTTTGCTGTTGCTGTACCTAATCAGATGTCAATATATAATTTGATGTATGCATTAATGTCAATATGTTAGAACAGAAATGAAATAAATAAATTGAAATAAATAAATAAATGAAAATAAAAATAAAAAAAAAGATAAGAAAATAGAATGAAAAATAAAATAAAAAAGAACAAACCTGTACTTGATCCAACTGTAATTGCAATTGCTGATTAAGTTGTTGCAGTTGATGCACTTGTTGAACTTGATAAGTATGTTGTCGTTGTTTTTGCTGATATTGTTGCTGAAGACCAGCCATCAAATTAGCCTGTTGTTGCTGTTGTTGTTGTTGCTGTTGTTGCAATTTTCCAGCCATTACACTAGATGAAGCTTTCCGAATGTTCTTGCCTTCTTTTTTAGAGACCGGCTTTGCTTTCGGGCGATCACTTATAGCAGTACTCTGGCTAACATCACTACTTGTGGTAATAGGTTGAGAAACTGACATAACGGTAGGAGGCGTGGATATGCTTGGAGGACTCGGTGTAGTTGCTGAAGATGTATTTGAAGTAACTGATGGAACGGACGACGTAACAGGTATTGTCGCAAGAGAAAGGGGAGGAGAAGTAGGAAAAGTATTTGTCGTAGGAAAAGTTTCCGATATGGTTGGAGCTAAAGATAACTGAGCTTCTTGTGCAATTCGTTTTCCTCTAAGAAATGCATTATACAATGACATTGCCTGGCTAGTGCCTTGATGAGTTAATGAATTTCCGGACATGCCACTTGTACTGCAAACTAAACCTTTGAACCAAAATCATTGTTTAAAATATTTTGCATTTAACAGAAATTATAAGTAATAAAAATTAGAGAAGAAATTTCAATATATACCTGATGACAATGTATCTGGTTCATTAGAATCTTCCTGTTGCTGTTGTTGCTGCTGTGTTACAACAGGATTTTTTGCACTACAAAACCAATGTCCTGGACCCTTAATTTGAAGTTCTCTTTCTACCCTCTACAAATATTTATAGAATATTTCAAAAATATTAAAGAAAATGATTAATAATAAATTTTCGATTAATATACGTGTTTCAAATGATTAATACTTACTTGTAATTCTTCGAAAATTTGTTGTTTATGGAGAATTTGCTCTTGTCGAGTGTTTTTTCGACTTTCTGAGACATTCAATCCTGGTGTTGGCGCAGGAGCAGGACTAAGACTAATGTTAGGTTCTGAAAGATTAGTAAATCCTCCACTGCCTTTATCCAGAATATTGGTATCATCTTTAGTTGTTACAATTGATTCTCCTGCGGGTTGAGAACGGACTTGTTGCGCCTCTGCAGAAGTAAGACTCATATCTGGCATCATTGTTACAGATCGATTTTTTCTTAATAATGATTTTTGTGTATTATGTTTAGGTTGGAGATTTTGTGTTTGTGATTGATCTGCAGCATGTTGTTGCTGTTGTTGATGCGATTGGGGTTGGGTAGATGCATGTTGTTGATGGGGCACATGTTGTTGATGCGTAATATGCTGTTGTTGCTGTGGATGTGGTTGTTGTTGTTGTTGTTGTTGTTGTTGTTGTTGCTGCTGCTGCTGCTGCTGCTGCTGCTGTTGCTGCTGTTGTTGTTGTTGGGGAAGCAACATAGGTGTAGGTGTTGCATTATGCGGTGTACTCATCATAATACTGTGAGGATAATCCAACAAGAGTTGAACTACACTAGTATGTCCACCTTTTGCAGCTTCTATTAACATCGTAGAATTATCCTATAACAAAATTCAAAATTTTATTATAGTGATATTAAAAAATTTAATAGAAATTATTGTGCTGAGCTCAAAAGTTTGAAAAAAATGTGTATTTAAGTAATTAGAAAACTAATCTACTTTTGCTTAAAATAACCCTATGTATTTTCCCCTACTGAGAAAAATATTAATTTGATGAATAATAAAAAATAAGAACAAACAAAGAATTTTTTTTGTCTCTATGTCTTAAACCCGAGCTTCGCATATTATATAATACATACCTTCAATTTATGAAATGGATTAGCAGATTGTGCAAGTAACAGTTCTACAACTGCCAAATGCCCACCAGCACATGCTAGTGAAAGAGGAGTATGATCGTTATTCGTTGTTTGTCTATTAACATCTGCACGCTTTGATATAAGAAACTGAACTGTACAGAGGTGACCAGCTCTACATGCTTTCATTAGCGGTGTTCTTCCTCCTTCTGATTCGTGCTCCTATATATATTATATAAAATAAAAACAAATTTGTAAATATCATAAAATTATTGTAATCAATACATGCAATATTATTTGAATTTAAATAAGACATACTAAATCAGCACCAAATTGAAGTAGAAGATCCGCAACATCAGTATGACCATTTTCACAAGCATAAGTTAATGCAGTATCTCCTGTTTGTGTTTGAGCATGGACATCTGCTGCAGATTCAAGTAAATAACGAACAAGTTCTAAATGACCTTCCTGTGCAGCTTCCATTAGAGGAGTAGAAGCACCCAATTCGATGTCAGCTCCTGCTTTAATCAAAAAATCTGCGACTTCTAGAAAGCCACCACAACAAGCTAAAGTAAGCGCTGTTTCTTGTGTTTCCTCAGTTTGAGCATTGATGTTAGCCCCTATGTCAAAATATATACATTTTATTTAAAAATTCCTTTGCTAATTATATCTCAATTCATACAAAAAAAAAAGAAGAAAAGAATTTGATTACCTTGACTTAAAAGCAAAGCAACCATTTCTTCGTGACCTTCACGTGCTGCTTCCATTAATGGCGTATAACCTTCATCGTTTACTTCCTCGATATTTGCTCCTCGTTCGATCAAAAGCATAGCAAGATCGACGTGACCTCCACAAGCAGCCAAAGTTAATGGAGATTCAAAACTATCTGTTGGCATATTCACTTGCGCACCTGAATCTAAGAGCAAACGAGCTACTTCTACATGACCATCCATCGATGCTTCCATAAGGGCAGTGTGCATTTCATCAGTTTTGTGCTCCTGTATTATAAAGTGTTTCAATTTGTTATTCGATTTTACAAGAAAACATAATGATAAATAAATACCTGGTCTGCACCAGCTTCTAATAAGAAGCGAACCATTTCCAAATGTCCTTTATAACAGGCCAGTGTTAAAGCAGATTCTTTAAATTCATTGGAATGAGTATTAATTCCAGCGCCATGTTCCAACAAGATCTTAGCTACTGGAACATGTCCAGCACTAGCTGCTTCCATTAAAGGAGTATGACCATTTTCGTTATGATCTTCAACATTGGCACCTGCTTCTAATAATACTCGCACTACCTCCTCATGACCACCCGCACAGCCATACATAAGAGGTGTATTACCTAAATATATAAAAAAAATTTAACTTGTCTTAAGTATAATTTATAAATTAGTAAAATATTATTTTTTAAATTAAAATTATACTGATATTATATGAATATATGCTAATGATATAAATTATAAATATGAATATTTAAATTATGTTCCATACCTGAAGTAGATTGAGCATTAACATCAGCTCCATGAGCAATAAGCAAGCTTACAACATCTACATGCCCTGCACTGGCAGCCTCCATTAAAGGGGTACAATCCCCCTTTATACCACGATCCTCTACGTTTGCACTCATTGCCAAAAGTACCTATTTACATAAAACATTATTCAAATAAAACATTTATTGTAATTAATGATTATTTTATAATCCAAATATATTATGTATATTATATATATTATATACATTATACATATACAAATATATTATATATTATATATATCATTTTATTTTTCTACAATATCAGAATCATAAAAGGAAATCATAAAACTCAGATATAACTAGATCAAATAATGTTTTTATGTATATTTTCATTAATATATCATATTAAAATTATATATCATAATTAATATATCATAATACTTTCTAATAATTGTATTACATATTATATCATTTAGAAACATGAAACAAACATAAATATTAATTTCATGATAATAATAATATTCACTATATACAAATGTACATGAGAATATAAAGCAGTTAAATAAAATATCATTTAAATATATGCATGCATACGCACATTTATATATTTCAAGAAGTGTTGAAGTTAAAAAAAATAAAAGATCAAGTAGAATTCAAACCTGAGCAAGTTCGTAATATCCAGCTGAACAGGCGAGGGAGAGTAAACTCTCTCCCTCTTCTGTAGTTTCGTGAACACTGCGTCCTTCTGTTAATAATTTTTTAACAGTACCTACGTCCCCGTCAGTGCAAGCCTCTACAAGAGAGCGCTTTTCGTTTTGTGTGCGTGGATTATCGCTGCGCATACGAGTCAATGCAGCTGCTGCTTCATCTAATGCACAAGAAACACTAGATGTTATGCGACGGAGCACTTCGTGATCAGGTAAGTGCTTCCCATCGCCTGATGACAACTTGCCAATACCAGCTACTTCCAGTAATGATTCTAATCGAGCCTGAGTTTCGGGATCCACAGATCTTTCTGGATCTTCAGAAGTTAACAGAAGCTTGGATGACTCTAAATGATGACCTTCGTCTAATTCAACCTGATCAATTGCAAAACACTCCACCTGCAAATAACAAAACAATATTTCTTCCAAATATTTAATATTTAATTAATATTTAATTTAATGCAATTAATTCATATATAAGATTGAGTCTAATAAAAATGTAATAATATAATAAATTTTAATCTAACATAAATTTATATCATAGATTATATTAATTATTTTAATAAATTGAATATAATTAAGTTCAATTTTATTTTATATTGTAATATCTATTGTAGTATTTTTTTTTATTTTATAAATAAATAATGTAATTGCATTTTCTCACTATTCTATATTAATTTATTAAAATAATAATAAGAGTTTGCTTTAAATGCAATATAATATTAATATTAATATTCGTATATATAATAATAATATTAATATTATATATTATTAATATCAATTTTATTTTATACTTACACATAAATTAAACTGATTATATAAAAAATTATATACTTAAAACTAAAATTTTGTTTCACTTCTTATCTTAACAGAAAAAATATGAAATTATAAAAATTAACCCAAAGATTGCTGAGTCATTTTTCTTGAATATATTCATTTTTCATATTTTTTATAATTGACTTGTAAAATAAACTTTGAAAATTACTAAATTAAATAGATCAATCATATATTTTATCAATATGAAGAATTAATCTTTTATGCAACGAATATTTATGATTAATGTTTAGCGATTATTGCATTATTTGAGGTTATTGTATAACACAAAATCCCTTTCACCTTATCAAAAGAAAAAAAAAAAAAGGTAAAGCGAGGGAAAAAAGATAAAAAAATGAAGGAGAAATTATATACAAATATACAAGAAACTTTCTGAAAAATTGTAGTAAAAACAAATATTGTTGTAAAAAAGTATTTATTAAACATGGAGGAAAAATAAGCAATGGAAATACAGTTAAAGTTTTGCGAAGTATGGAAATTATATAAATAGGAAAAGAAATGTCCTTGTAATATGCGAAATACTAATTTCAAATCATACTTCTTTTAATGTTTTTAAAAATAAATTATAATTCCTAGATCATTTAAATTATAGTACGTACATCTCGTGTAGAGGTCATATCCTCTTGCGCGACGAGTGGAAACCAATGAGACATAAACGTAAATCAGAATGTAGGTGAAAGTATTTTGTTCTTGTAAGTGATTAAAACGGCTTGCTACTGAACACAAAGGCATAAGAACAATGTGCAGCCATTCCAAGAAGGACGAAACTGACACTTCCTTACTATACTCTTTGCTTGCGTACTAAACGCGTTCCGTTTGTTTTATCGAAATCAAAGTAAGGAGAAAACGTCGAGTATTCACTAATCGTGTGAGCACACGTCGTACTAACCAATATAATTGTTCGCACAAAAAATTTGTGAAAAAAAAAAAGAACTCCGTATAAGAACCGCTGGTAGAATATAGAATAATATGGTGGCTCTGCTCTCTACAATTTCCACGCCACGAACATGAGCGACATAGGAGAGCCGAGTAGCCGGCAGGTACAGGAGCAAGGATAGAGTTGAAATCTCGATGACAGTATAACAGGAAGAGTTAAGTGTTACAATAAGGTAAGAAATACACCTATGAACGTATAAAGAAGGTAAAGAAACGACCAAGCAGACAAACAGGCTCACGAACTCGCACGAATACGCGAGAAACGCGGCCGAAGAGAACTCCGCTGGGTGGCGCACAACGTAGTGCAAGCGGACGTAAAATAGCTCTACACATATACAGGTATGTGTATAGTAAGAGGCATATGCGAAAGTTCGCGCGGGCGAACGTACTACATGCAGAATTACTAGTTCAATGAAAAGTGTATATATACGTGCGCGCGCGCGTATATGTATATATATTATGTATATATGTATAAACATATATATATAAACATCTACTTGTATAAATATATACACGGACGTACACGTGCGTGCGCACGCGCTTGATTATGCAGTGCAGTTAACCGGAATGCTTTATTCAGCATTTGCACATATACGTTTGTAAGGTACGCGAGATTTTAAAAATAAAATAAATTAAAAATTATACAAACGTTCTAATCGCTAATAATATTATATTTTATATAATTTCATTTAAATCAATATCAAATACTTGATGAGTCAATAAATTAAAAAAAAAACTATAGAAAATAGATCACGAAGTAGAAATTCAAGAAAATGAAGTATATTTTAAAAAATAAAAAACTGCATGATTTTTTTTCCAAACTACAATACATTATGACGTTCCCTTATGTATTAACGCATAGATTACGATTATATAACATTTCTGCGTAAATTTATCTTTCTTTCTTTATTTTTCTGTTAAAAAAATTATATAAAATTTGTTTTATATCAATAATTAGCTTAGCGAAAGTATTACCTGATCATATGCTCGGAATTAAATTTAAATTTTGCAAAAAGACAGTTAAATTTTTTTTACACTACTTTTTTAATTTTATAAATCATTCATTGATTTTTAACTACCAACATATTCTTGGTTACAAAACACTAGTTAATTTTGCTATTGTTTTCTACATGACAATACATGTTAGGTTATAATTTCATAACTTTTAATAGGTATAGTTTCAAGTCGTAGTTCAAGTAGTTTTTTTTTAAATATTATTTATTATAGTATAAATACAAAATATATAAAAAAAAAATGAATACATGAATTGATGTTAAAAAATAATATGCACAATAATCGATCATTTTTTACTACATTTACTTCTTAAAGTACTTATATCATAATAAAGTATCTATATGGATTTGCAATAAAATTAGATGTCAAACAAGATTAACATTGATTCCAATAGATTTCATCAAAATTTGATATATACGTATATATATATATATATATATACTATGACGTATGTATTATACATACGTATACAAATAAATACAGAAGAGAAACAGGGAAGAGCGAAAGCAAATATATAAGAGAGAAGAGAAAAGATGGGAGGGGGATAGTAACTGGATGGACGACAGAAGCGACAGCAAGTTCATGCGTGTGCGTAAATTCGTACATGCGTGCGTTCAACCTCTCATCGCACAAATATCTTATTCACGATGTGGCATATATTTTTGACATGGTTTACCTCTGAAACACTGTCCTCTTCGCTCTCCGACGAGTCTGCCATAAAGCGAGGCTGCAGTTCGGAGAAGGTTTCGGTCTCTGACTTCGTAGGGCTGGAATTCGAAGACTGGGGAGTCGACGACGTCTTTCCAATGTCGTGGTGAACGCTTGCTGATTTCTCGTGCTTCTGACTATCCGAGGTCGTTCCTTGTGCTACATTCTGCATCTTTACCTTCCAGATGAATCATATGATACTAAGGTATCGTTCCCGTGTTACAAAACACACACAGAACACTTGCTTTTCGACAATAATCTTGAGCACGATCGCCGTCATTCACGTAAGCTAACACCCGCCATTTCTACTATGGCCGACAACCTCCCGGATGCCTCTTCGACCATCTATATGATTGCATACGATTCGACATGCCATCTTTCGTTTTCCGTGGCGGGTAATTTCAATTTGCTTCTTCATTTCTTATTTAATTAGTATATAAGAGTATATATTATTATCATTTCTTTATTCATGCAAATTAATATGTTTGTTTCCAACGAAAATGATATAAGATATAGATAATTGTTGATAAATAATTGATACAAATTAAAAACGGAAAAAAATGAGGATAAAAGGATAAAATAAGAGGATAATAATTTTTAAAAATGGTAATGTATCAATTTAAGTACATTTAATCTAATTATGTATATATAATAATTTTTTTATTTAATAATAAAATAATATTGGGAAAAAATGTATTATTTATTTATAAATATTACTAACAATAAATTTTATAATTATTTTATAAAAAACATTCAATATCAATTTCTAATATAGAACAAGGTGTATTTAATTCAAATTTTGAAATTACATCTGGATGTAGAACTCCCATTTTACCAATTACTCTGTTATAACATAATATTTCCGCGCAACGATGAGGAAAAAAAGTAGGATCTAAAAAAAATTATATGAACTTAAAAATAGATAATAACTTGTTAAAATATAAATAAATTATGCTTTTTTATATTTTTATATTTTTTTTATAATAATTTTTCAAGTTACCGTCGACGGCACGAAGATAATATCCATTTTTCGTTTCATTATCATTCCATGGTACTTCTAATATTTGTAATATTCTATCCAGTAAACCATGAATTAGTTCAAAACCATCAGATTTATTACAATATATTGCGCATAAATGCCGATTATTACGTGCACCAACTTCCATATTATTATCTTTTAATATAATATCAGATACTTCAAATAATTTGTGAGGAAGTGGCATCTTTTTATTTGCAGCTAATGTTTTCAATAATCCTGGTATCAAAGTGGTACGTGCAACCTATAATATTATTATATTGATTTTATATCTAGAATGAAATTTTAATTTTTAATAAAATTCATGTATATACCTGAAATTCTAATGTTTTAGGATTCAATATATGAACAGCTGGTACGTTTATCAAATTATGACCTAATTTATTTGATATATCTTCACGTGAACACTAAGAAAAAATTATTTAATTAATTATAATGGTTCATATAACTTATATAGTTATTAAAAAAAAATTTATACTAATGAGAAAGTCAATGCTTCTGTGAATCCAGCATAAGCCAATTCTGTACGAAGTTGATCGGATAGTTTATTAAGTGGACACTATATTTAAAATATAAACATAATATTTAGAAAATGTTTTATATTAAAATTTTATAAATTTGAAAATCTATGAATTTTTTATTATTACCTCTTCCGCTATAGTAAATAAATATGGTATAGTTTTCTGAATTTTGTTATATCCATATGCTATAGCAATATCTTCATAAATATCACACGCATGCAATACATCATGTCTTGTAGGTGGCACTTCAATGATTAATTTATTATCATTTTTGATAGATGTTTTTAAAGACATTCTAGAAAGCAGGTTAACTAATTCTTCTGCAGTTTGTTTTATACCAATATATTTCATTGCTTTCTCACAATCAATTTCTATAGTTCGATATTTTAAATCAGGATAATAAAAAACTTGTCCATTAGGATACAAGACTTCCACCATTTCTATTGTATATTTTGTTTTACAGTATTGACTAAAAGCACAAACTATGGTATTTAATGCTACTTTTGCCTAAAGATATTCAAAATTTTAGTATATCAGTTCATTTTTTATTATATATATATAATATTAATTTATTAATTTTTAATTATTATTTCAATATTAATTTTTCATATACCTTTGTTAAATCTATTGCAGTACATTCTATTAATATATTTTTAGTATCAAGTGTAATCTTTGAATGATCTCCATTGATGATAGGTGGAAAGGATAAAATGATTCCATTACTGTCTTCTACCACAGGATAAAATGGATTATCTTTTATAATGTGTAAATATTGTTTTAATTGTGCATGATTCTGAAAGAAAAATAAAATCTAAATTGTTTATCAAAATCATTAAGATTTAAAAATACTTACACTATATAAATTCATAATTTCTTCTGCTGTATATTCTTTATCTTGATTAAGTGGCTTAAAACAAATATTAGTTGGTAATCTTGCATCATATAAAAATGGACCTTTAATAGTATCTAAATCATGAGTTCCAATTGATACTAAAGTTCTTTTTCTGCCTATATTTTGATGTAATTTTTCTTGAAGATCAATGAAGCTATTATAAGAATCCTCTGTAAATGTAACATCACGTAATATAGCTGCAACAATGTGTCCTCGAACTTCTAAGCACTAAAACACAATTTAATTTTTTATTGATTAATAAAAATTTAATTTTTCAATAACAAAAATTAATAACATAATTATTATACCTGTTTTGTCATTATAATTTTTTCTGTATTTGTATTAGGAAGTATTGCCATATATTGTGGTATATCAACTCTATACAAAAAAATTTTCTGAATATATAAATCTTATTTATAAATATAATAAATATAAATACAAGTTTACAAATCTCAAAGAAATTCATGTTTTTAATATAATCTATTGCAATCTATCTTTAATAATTGAAATAATTAAAATAATAATGAATTTATATCTTATGTAATATGATATGTAATATAGAAAGAATAACATAGTTTGTTAAAGATAATCAACAAATTACATATTAAATATATATACTGATTTAAAAATATAAGAAGTCCAAGGGTTAAACCCTCTAAGCATAATAAATCGTATCTGTTTGCTGGTATATCAATTTTATATATAACTTCCTCTAATTCTTGTCTATTATGATTTAAATGTTGTTCTTTTGATATAATTTGTTTTTCTGTTACCTAAAAAGTTTAATCAAAATTCTTTCATATATTAATATAATAAAATATATTATAATAACATAATTTTCAAAAATATCAATATATTTAATACAATTTAATAATATATGTTATACATACCACTTCATCTAATTCTAAACCAAACTTGAAACATAAATCCTGAAAGTCGATATCCGCTAAAATTGTATTAGATATATTATTTCATATAAAAAAGATTATACTAGTAAATATTTATTCAAAATAATTTTAAATATGGAAAAACAACATAACATTTTAATATTTTCAACTTACAATATGTTTTACCAAGGATTTTAAATAATAAGTCACGTTTGATGTTAATAGTAGGCATTTTTATATATACACTTTTGATAATAATCTGATACTAATATAATAAAATGAAATGAATTTATTTAAATTATTTTATTTTAATAAAAACTTTCTACAAATTTTAAATATTAGAAAATATTACAATAATCACTATTAAGTAATTGAGATTGATGTTTAGAAAAAGAATTAAAGGTTAGAATGAATGTATAACATTATTGTAAATAGAGAGCAGCATTGTAGATGTATCATAAGTTAAGGTTAGGTATTTCTTCTCTAATGATTTAATTTTACATTTATGTTTGTAGATTTAAATTAATTTTATAATTTTGTTAATATAACAAGTTAATAATTATTCGTTAATGTTTATATAGAAAAACACTATTTTTTATATGAATTTATATATATTATATATTATTTTTAATATATTATTATATAATTTTAATTATACATTATTATATATTTATTCAAATATAATTATATATTTTACATTAATATATAAACAAATAAAAATTATTATAATAATGTATATAATGTATATATAATATATATTGAAGTGGTCCAATTATATTATTAAGACAAGAAAAAATATTATTATTCGAGTATGAAATTTTATTTTTTAAAAAATAATTGTAAAAAGTTGCAAAAAATTATAATTTGTTTTAAATAAATTATACATTATTTTTTATATTTACAATAAAAAAACTAACTAACAAAACATTATATTGAAAATATATTATAAATAAATATTTTTTAGAACATAATAAAAGATAATTTTCATAATGAATCAATCAATTCCTTAATGAAATAATCATACTGAAAAAAAGAAACAGATTTTTTTTTTTAATAAAAATTTTATACAAATGTTTTTAAATTTTCAAAAGCTTACCCATATAAATAATAAAAAAACAATAAAAGATAAAATGTAAGTTTACTCCATCCTTCCCTTTGATGAACTTTAAGAGTTTGAACATTCATTATACTAGTTGGGTCATAAATTCCTGGTTTAGACATAATAGGTCTATGATAATATTGCCATAAGTGATATATTATTAATGGAATATTTAGAAATAATGAAAGCCACTGTCCACTACTTAAAAATAAAATGTTGATTAAAATATGTAATCCATATTCTGGAATAATTAGCTAAAATACACATATATGATTTAACTATAATTATAATTTATCATTTTTTATTATTTTCATACAAATAGTATTTATATAAAAAGCTAATTTCAGAATCTTACCGAATTTAAATTATTACATTGTTCAATGGGATTTTTATAACCAGTTTTTAATTCATCAAATGCAGCAACCTGAAAAATATAATATTTTTAACAAAAATCATTTTCATTCCTTATATCTAGAATGCTAAGGTTAACAATAATTCATATAGAACAATTATATACATATTTTTATTTATTATTTTATTTTAAAAGTAATCATTATGGCTTGGCTTAGCACGTACGTGAAATATTGTAAAAATTATTAAAAATGCATCAACAATTAAAGCTACGATATATGAAAAAGCAATCAAAGTGAACGCCATTATAATAACTATACATGATAGTATTTAATTTAATTTAATAAATATACATAAATTGATTTTTGAACAAAGAATGGAATTATAAATAAATATAATATGAGTTATTTGTAATATTATAATATTTATTATATTATACTAACTTATTTTCTTAAAATGTTAATATTTCTTGATAAAATGTTATCGGTTTGTTACTATCGTGGAATATTTTTTTATATATTTTTGTTCATAAATTGAATTAATGGAATGCAATTTCATTAATACAGAATGTAATTTTATGATCAGAATTATCAATTAAGATTATTAAACAAATTTATAATAATGTAATTTTTTATTATGATAAAAAATATTTTAAAATTTTTCAAAATATTTCGTATATTATATTTATAAGATTTACATTATTAGAAAATATATTTTTGTTTTTAATTATATTATCTTGTTCACCCATAAGTGAATAAACTATATCAAAAATATATAAATATAAAATGAAGAAAAATAAATTTACGAATAATATTAAATTTATATAATGAAATAATTTAAAATTTATAGAATAATATAATTGAATCAATAATTTGAATCTTAAGGATAAAACAAAAATGCTCGAATTATGAATTTTAGGAAAGAAAGGTTATATTTTATATATAAAAATTTAATATTTTTATATATAATATAATATAATATAATATAATATATTTTTTCAATTAAAAAAATTGGAAGAAAAATCAAAAATTTTCTTATTTTAAAGTATCTAAACAATATTTTTACATTTGAAAAAAAAAAAAAAACAATACCGAATGGTTATTGATAGGTTATGATATATGTATATATTTTGATCATGTATTTTATATTTATGATTGTCTTATATATTTCAAATTACAAAAAGATATAAAGTGAAAATTTTATTTATATATTATATATACAAATAGAAACTTCAATTTAGATAGTAGATAACAAGATATTCTGAATTTAAATTATAAAAATAAAATAATTCGAAAAAAAATTTATATAAGATTTCTAGATTTCACAATGAAGATTTTCGAGCTATACAGGCTCGATATTTAGAATTATGAATATTAATTAGATTTATTTTAATATCTAATACATGCATTATTTAATAAATATATTTACACAGTTATTTATGTTATTTATACAGTCATAAATTGAATTTGATACAAAAATTATTCATATTTTTACATTTTATATATTTTATATATTTATAGAATTATATAGTTCTTGTTAAAGCTTGAGCTCCATATGTATGATTTAATTCTGTTTCCAGTCTAGTTATTAATCTTTCCTCATCTCTGTTATTCCATTGATTGTTACTATTTATGAACAATTTTCGTTTAGGCTGTAACATACGTCTAATATTTTCATAAGATATATCCATTTCTTTAAATGCATTTAACAGAAATATTGCAATTATTATAGTTAAGAAACCACAAGATGATCCTAAAATATCTTCAGCACTCATATTTTCCCATTCCTTAAATAATATAGCAGATGCAATTATTACTAATGTTGTGAAAAATACATAATAAATAGGTGTAACAATTGTAGTTTCAAATAAATCAAGTGATCTATTTAAATAATTCATTTGTATGCTAACACAAAGTATAACACTAAATAAAAAAGCCCATGTTAACCAATTTGAGAATCCATTACTAAATCCAAATATAGTTTCTTTCAAAGCTAATCCTAATCCTTTACAACTTGTAACAGTCAATGAACCAATAGATGAACATAAACAAATATATACTATGATATTTTGTTTTCCATATACAGGACCAAAATAAAAAATAATTAAAATACTGCATATTATCACAGTCAATATATAAATAATGTATCCTGGATCCTTAACCTTATCTAAAAGCTCATTTAATGTACTGATTTCTTCTTCCTTTGGAGAATGAATTATAAGAACTGTAGAACCCAAGATGCATAAAAGGCAACCAATCTGCAATAATAATAAATATAAATATATCAATTATTCAAATAAAAAAAAATCATATCATATATATTCATAAAAATAAAAATAAAATCATATCATATATAATTTATAATTTTCATATATGAAAATTATAAATAATATCTCATATAATATTATATTGTTACCTTTCCTAGCAAATTAAGTTTTTCATGTAGATATTTTGATGCTAATATTGCAGATATTAAAACACTAAGGGCTCCTAATGGGGTTACTAATGATGCTGGTGCAAATGCATAAGCAGCAAAATTTGCTGCTTCTCCTATTCCCACTTTAAAAAAAATAATATTTTTCTTAATAAAGATATTTAAATAGAAGTATTAAATAATTACTTTTTGTTTTATATACTTGATAAAAAACCAGTCCACCACATCCATTCTTTTAAATATCCAAATCCTCCAGATGAAGCTCGTAGTGCTCCGCGTCTTTGAAGTCGAATCAATGCTTTTTTTTTAATAATAAAACTAGCTCCTAAATAATTATAATACTGCACAATATTTATTTTAAATAAATATATAATTATAATTGTAACATCAACTAACCTATAAAAATACTAGAACTAATTGCTAAGCCTAACCCTATATAAAAATTTGTTGTATTATACAATTGTACTTCAAATGCAATTTTTGTTATACTACTCATCGTTAAATATCAATTTTATCAGTATTACTTGTTTAAAAATGTTAATTTATGAGTTGTTCATTAAAATGTAAAAAATATATATATTTCATAATATTTTTAAATTTATCCTAATTGTGTAAAAATTACTGTATTAACTGATTACTTAAATAATATTTTATCGAAACTTTTCGTCAAATATTGTTATAATTAGGTTCTCTATATTATATATCATTTAAGATCACATATTGTACAAGTAAATCAATAGCGCGTGCGCATTCATCAAATATAATCGAATACTAAATATATTGCAATGAATGATTAAATTGAAAAGTTGAAATTACTAAACAAGAAATGATCTTATATTTAATATAGTACATTTAATTTCATTTATTTTACAAATAATTGTCATATTATATCTTTATTTCTATTAATTTTTTTAAATATTTATTACTATTTTAATATTTATAATATTACTATTTATTACTATTTTAATATTATAATATTTGTTTATAATAAAAACAGTATTAGGATATAAAAGTCAGTTAATATGACAATAATAAAAGTGTATTATAAAAAGAAACAAAGTGAGTATTATAAAAAGAAATTGACATTAAATTTTTACCAACATCCTTGTTTATCAATAAGTAATGCTTTTAACATTTTTTGACAAATCATTCTCACTGTATGAGTAGGAACTGTGGAGGTACATAAAATACAAAGTATATGATCACCATCTTTAACTGCATAGCATTTATGATATTCTGAACATAAATAAGTTTCTTTTGCACCCATAAATTTCCAATTATCAGCTGATGAATTATATTCAGATTCTGAAGATAATATATAAGTTTCAACAGCTTGATGATAAAATGTTCTTAATATATCCAATCTGTGAGAACCACTAACTCTGTTCTTTGCATATTGCATATTTTTACCAAGAATAAATTTTTGTGCTTTATAATTTGTTAAAAGAAATCTAAATTCATAAAAAAAAAATAAGAATATTATAATTTTTTTATTTTTGATAATATATTTTTTTAAATAAAATTATTTATATTAGATATTAATATTTTTATTACCCAAGCGTTTCTGTATCTAGATTTATAGATAAAGGTAAATTTCGTGGGTAGCATTGTTCTGCATTGCGTAAAGCATCAATACTATTCTTCCAACATTGTACAGCAAGTTTTTCAATCTCTGATAAATCTGGATTTGGTCCACATAAAGCTAATACTTCAACTTGATTGACTAATGTAATAGATACTAATCTAAAAGCTACCTATATATATGGTCTCTTATGATAAATCGTGTGATGTAATTTTTTAAAATAAAAAATTAAATTAAAAAAATAAAAATATTATATTAAAATTATGTTTTAAAAATAATAAATATACTCACATTTGGACTTTTATAAGGTAAAAATACTGGAATGTCTCTTGTGGTATAAGTATCTTCTGTATTTACAGCTGTTATTAATAATTTCCTTTCAATGGGATTTAAATTCCACCATCCTTCTGTAGCTACTGCTAAACATCCATGTATTAAAATGCATCCATATATAGAATCCAGACATTCCATATAACCCTCTAAGCATGTCTTAAATAGATTATTACTTAACATACAGAAAACTTTTTAATTTAAAAATTTTAGTTACCTGAAATAAATTATTTTCTTGACACATTATACATTCTGTCATATTGATAATATCAGTTTTTGAACAAATTCCATCACCAACATCAAGACATTCCAATAAACTATCAACAATTGGATTACATAAACGGATATCTTTCTTTAATTTTTCAATATTTTTTGTACTTTTTAATTCTTCAATACCAACAAATAAAATCATTGCACCAAAAACAGCATTAAGAAATTTTTCCAATACAGATTTAGTAGTTCCACTTGCAATAACTATTAATGTAATACTTTGCTCAAACTCTTTCCACATTATCATAGTATCGGGTAAATTTGTATTTAAAAGTTTAATGTTTTGTGATTTAAGAAACATATGTATCCCATATAGAGATGCTATTTTTGAAAATGTCATCTATAGTTTTATTAAAATAAGTTTTAGTAAAAAAGAAATTAAAATTAATATCACATAATTTACATTTTTTTTCATTTATAATCATATAAATATTACCGTATCTCCTTCTCCTTTTTGACGAGAAAATAAAGGAATTCCTCCAGTAGAGGTTAAACACATAACATGGGCTACCATAATAATGGCTTTCTTCTGTTTTAAACGTTAAATGCTTAATACACTTTTGTTTCTTTATACACTTTTTGATTTCTTGAATTAAACAAAATATTATTTTTTTTTATTATCTAAATTTAATTCATAATTTTAAATATTATTTTTAATTTTATAATCTCATTATATCATAAAATTATGTGAAATTTTATTTCTA